AACTCTAAAATTATTTGGACCTTGTATTGGATGCTCCTAAGCATGCTATTATTTAAAGCAGCCCCTCTTTTCCAGGCTTCTACTTGAATTGCATTAATTTCAAAGAGATGACTCTTTAAAGCAGTTGCATTCTTTTTCAAACTCATGAAGAAGTGTGAAAAAATAATAATAAGAGGGCTATTTAAGTGAACAGCAGACAAAAAATCTAAACCATTTCTTCCAAATCATTGGCACAGTGATACAGCACTAGAAAATACCATTATTTCATACCAGTTCAAACTAAAAATTGTTGCTTTTTATGTTTGCTTTTTAAAGCAATTGCACAGAAACCCAGTCAGGTTCATAATGGCAATCTACGCAGATGGGATAACCCTTTCTTTCCAGCCCAGCATCCTGCCATAAATCCTTTATAACTAATTTGTTCCCAAAGATATTACTGACAACAAAAAAACAAATCAGAGGAAAATGTTAGCTGGGAAAAGGAGAAGATTTTGAGTAGATAATATATGGTAGAGGAATGGGTTAAGCAATGGATAGGTCTGATTTGGACTGAAACTCAAATGACTGCTTATTCTCATAAATAGTTCCAAGTACTAGGTGTAACTTTTAAAAGTATGCTTAATATCCAAAAGAAATGGAGAATCCATGGTTTTCAGATATTGCTGCATCACAGTCCCGCCATTCCTTACTATTGGTCATGATAGCTGGTCATTCTAATTCAGCAATAATAGCTTCCATCTTGTTTTCTGGAAGGAAGCTAAATGGATTCATGGAAGGGACAGCTTTTAAGCAGAAACCTGACATGGACATCTAAGAAAAGTGTTCCAAGCACTGAGAAAAATAAATGAGAAAAAAGAAAAGAGGCAATCATGACCTTGGAAGGAATGACACAGACTTTGTACTAGATGTCAATGAAAGCCTGCAAAGAAGAAGAGAAGGAATATCACGTTTCCTAAATATTATAGAATCAGGACTCAGAAATGCAACTTAGCTGTGGTTTGAGAGCTTCACTACTAGTGATTCTGGGATTTCCTTCTTCCAAAAATTAATACCAGCAGTCCTCAACTTACAACAGTTTATTTAGTGACTGAATGGCACTGAAAAATGTGACTTCTGACCATTTTTCATAGTTACGACCTTTGCAGCATGCCCATGATTGTGTGATCAAAATTCAGATGCTTGGCAACTGGTTCATATTTATGATCATTACTGTGTCCCAAGGTCACCTTTTGTGACCTTCTGACAAGCAAACTGTTTTGTACACTTGTGATCAAAATTCAGAGGCTTGGCAACTGACTCATATTTATGATATTTGCAGTGTCCCTGGGCCATGTCATCACCTTTTGTAATTTTTCTGACAAGCAAAGCCAATTGGGAAGTCAGATTCTCTCAAGAACCGTGTTATTAACTTAACAACTGCAGTGATTCACTTATCAACTGCAGTGCTAAGAAAAGTCGTAAAATGGGGCAAAACTCACTTAACAAATGTCTCACTTAACAACAAAAATTTTGAGTTTAATTTTGGTTGAGGACTACCTGTACTGTACTGTACTGTAACTGCATCCATCTCTCTCTCTCTCTCTCTCTCTCTCTCTCTCTCTCTCTCTCTCTCTCTCTCTCTCTCTCTCTCTCTCTCTCTCTCTCTCTCTCTCCCTACTTAGCTACCTACCTACCAACCAACCAGTTTGAGAATGAAGAATACATTTTCTAAAACTTGTCATCCTTGTTGTTAGGCAAGCTTATAATATAAATGCCAAACGTTTGAAAAAATCACCCATATTTCACCCATACACAACTGATGTGATATGACTAGTCTGTGATTGGATACGTTGCTAAAGCGACATAAACTATTTTTCAGTTGAACAAATTGTACATGGAATTATATATATGCTGCTCACACAGTCACAAATCTTATCTCCCTTGTTATGATTAACATCTGATTTTCTTATTTTATTAGAAAAATATCAGGAAATTCATAGTGCTAATATTTATCGGTTTTGCTTTGGCAATGAAATTCAATATATAAAGACCTCAACATGAAAAACTTTCCTCAGATGCCTTGGCTTAGTTGCACTTCATGGGATGATTTTGTCTTTACTCCTCCCTCTCTTTTCTCTTTTTATCTCTTTCAATGAAAACAATTTTTTTTCTGCCAATTTAATATGAATACATTTACTGAAAAAGGGGACAACTGGAATTTGGAGTGAGCAAACAGAAAAAACTATACCGTCTACTATTAGGCCTTGGAGACAGGTCTCCATCTGTCACTCCTAAGAAGCCAGTGTATGAACAGTGTGAAAAGTATGATATACAAAACAACTAAACGACATAACCCAGAAATAAAGGAAGACTCATAAAATCACGAAGTCAGTCATATATTGAAGAAACCTTGTATACAAGAAAAAGAATATTCCAGGATGAGAGAGCAGTGCCTAGAATCCTGTCTTTCTGAGAGGAATACAACCATTCAGATGATAAGTGCTGGTAAGTAAAGCATTGGCTGCTGAAAATACATTGTATGTATGTTGGATGTATTCTTGGAAGCCTTAATTTTAGAAATGGCTAAACCTCTCCTCCTAATAAGGAAGTGTGCTGCCATCAGTGTTGGGGAGGAGCATCTGTTATTAAATTAAACATCTGACCAAGTTCCATTGCCAAAGTTAATGTCACATGCAGTCCCATACACCCCTCTCCCAAAAGCCAGTCTTGACAAATTCTTGAAAGTACTTCTTACTAAGGGCAACTGTTTTTTCCAGCGTATTCAATGCATATGGACCAGAAGACTTCCAAGATCCCTTCCAACTCTGTTATTGTTATTCTTAAGTGTGTGTGTGTGTGTGTGTGTGTGTGTGTTCCAAGCAGGAACAAAATGTGAAATTGCTGAAGGTTACCACATAAATTGTACAATTATTAATGGTAGACAGGACTTACAATTCATCATTAAATTAGTGCCACTAGGAATAACCCACATTCTATGATTTTTAATTATTCTGTCCCATTATTTATTTTGGATAGAACCGGTCATCTTGATAAAATGTTTCTGGTCTTTCATTGGAAGCTTTTTGTTACAAATGGCATGTGAAGATTCATCTGTCTTCTTTTTCTGTTTGAATTACTTACTTCTCCCTCTCTTCTCATCCCTTTTAAATGTTCATTAACACTTAAGCATTATATTTTAAAGAGGCAAAAAGAAACTTAAGGAATTTAAGTCTGTATCACATGGCTTTCCATTCTGGATAATAAGAACATAATGGATAGAAAAGAGATTTAATCTTCACCCCAGTGATATCCCTGGGTATGTCTACCTTGGTTTCTTCCATATGTGGGAACTACTACGGTATCATTTACAGACATGTGGGATAGATGGCAATAGTGTATAGAAGTCAAATCTACATCAATATTCCCAACTGCAGCCCACCTGTATTACTTCTAATTATTTACTTATTACCATACAAACGCTGGAATAAATCAAAAGGTTTGGGTCCCAAAATACATCTCCAAAACAGGTTTGGCTTATTCACAAATGGGCAATTTGTGAGTATATACAATAGGTATTTCCCTCAGCTTTTCAAAAATATACCAATATTTTAAAATATATTTAAATCAATTTAATTTTATTTAAATTAATTTATACGGTGCTTTCTAATAAGATGTACAAATATGGGGGGGGGGAAGTTAGGGGTATTGTCTGCTCCATGTTTACTGCTGGAATCCAAATGAAAGCACCTGTAATAGATGGCTATCCAATCTCTGCTTGAGTAATCCACTCAAGCAGAGTCCATAATCTCTCTAATAGCCATTCCCATTTATCAACAGGCACAGCAACATAATAATAAAAAAACACATTAAAATATCAAAGAATAAAAGCATCAGAAAGGTTAAGACCAAGACAATAAGCAAATTGCAGCCTGTTAAATGAGACAAATGTTATCCTAGAAAACCGAGCACACAAAAGCACAAGATTTTACACAGTGTGAGCAACTCAATTGGATTTTCACCTATCCTCTGGCTTCTACGGGAAATAAATCCAAAACATTATTTCCAGCCTCAGGTAGGATGACTGAGGAAAGAGGTTTTGATGAATCTTGTTCATTAGAGGGACAACTTTAAAGCACAAAACACAATGAATCTCCACATTCACGGAGAATCCATTCTCTTCCCTGATCCAAAGTGTCATCTGTGTAAGAACATCAATTCTTTATAGACTTTGTGTATTTTGTGTATTGTTCAGAAGAAAATATTCCACAATATTTAACAATTCCCAAATCACTGGATGAAATCCTTGAGTTTTTCCTTTTTCTCCCAGATCACATTTTAAAAGAATTTAATATAGGGATGGACAACCTGTGTATATACAGATACTTTGTATGACCTCCCAGCAGTTCCTGATAATTTAGCATGATAAAACTATGCCCAGCTCTGGGGAATGTAAGAAGGATCTTATGCAACCTGTAAAACAGGATTGCAAAATGTGTGTTTCGGGAACTGCGTGTGGCCAATCAGCATCCCTTTTGGGTCTCCCAGAGTCTGCTTAAGAACAGATGAAGTGGGTGGTTTAAGAGGCAAAACCCCTGAAACTTTCCACCCCCCCCAAGGGGTCCCACATTCTCACTACTTTGGACATGCAGTCCTTGTCACTGTGCAAAGCCTAGTATAGCCTTTCAATCAAGAAAAGTTACATATCCTTGTCTTAACTTCTAATACATTTATTTTGGTATGAAAATTATTAACCATGATAATATTATTTCATACTAAACCGTTTAGTTTTTAAGATGCCACAAAGCTATCTTTTTGGTGGCACCATATTTATAACCTTTGAAAGTTTTCATTAATGTTATTTTCTTTCAATATAGATGCCAAAGGCAAAATATTATTTTTAAAAAAACTTGGACTTAGTAACAGAAGCCAAATTCCATGGGGCACAATTCCATGGGGCAGTAGATGGCTACAAAGCAAATGATATACATGTTGGCACATGCTTTCAGACTCATATCACTTACCGTAACAGGGAGCTTTCTTTCTGAAGTGCTCAAAGATTCATTGATGGAACAGTGAATGACTTTGTCAGAAACAATTTGGATCTCACAGGAAATTAGGCCAATTTTAACTTCATATTCATTGCTTTCCAGACCGAGGTTGTCAGGCTCTTTCTAATAAGAGAAATAAAGAAGAGCAACATGATTCTGCCAGGGACTAAATTCAACCCTCAACATTTCTGAACTTTATTGACTTCAAAGCTCTCAGGTAGTACTTTTCATTTTTTCAAGGCACGAATACAAAACTCTCTTCTCATCCTATTTTTTTCTGTTTTAACTAAGACATTAATGCCTATAAAAACAGGAGTTGTTTACCAATCCCTTTCAAATTCCTAGAATAGAAAACTTGAGCTAAAAAGCCTTGAACGCAAATTGTGCTTTTGATCATTACCTGATAGTTAATATTGAAACCTAATGGGAAACAGATGAAAAATAAGCTGGAGAAAAACAGAAGGAGGGAACGTAGTGCTTCCATTGCCTGCTGATGAATACACAGCTTCTGAAGCTCATGGTACTTAGTGAAGACTTTCAGTAACCATAATGGCCTTCAAATAGCTTTGTTTCTTTAACAAAATTCCCTTCTTTCTTTAATAGCAGCTATTAGAATGAGCAGGTTGGTGCGGTTTTTTTGGAATAAGAATATTTTTTCAATTACTGTTCCATCGTACAATTGTTCCTTTGTTATTGTTTTTATTTACCCATATTCTTAGGTTGTTAGAAAAAGAATACACTTTTACTTGAATGCTCATGGCTAAATTTTTAGTTTAATTGAGTCAAGTCTTCCTTCTCCAGCTCATAATCAATGTAATGATTAAAGGTGACAATCTGCCTATGTCAGACTATGTTGCTTTCTCAAGTTTCCTTCCCCTTGGAGGCTTAAATATTTTCACATTAAGCATCCTCCTCTCTCTCAGTGTCCATATATATATATACCAAATTCTTACATGAATAACAAGTGTCAAGGGCTCGCCAGAATGATGTTTAATCCATTTTTCTTTCTTGGCTGTGAAGAACTGGGGATCTGTATAGTATTCCATGTGGAATTTGCTAACGTGTACAGCTTCCTCAGGGTATTCAAAGGGGAAAAGGCTCTCATCGGTATACAGGAGTCCATTGATGAAAAAGTCCACTAATGCTGGCTTGCTTCCAGTAAGATTGGAGGCAGCTGGAGAAGGGCAGGTAATCACAGTGTCCGAATGAACTTTGCAGTTCTAGAAAGCAAATCAAACATAGACAACAGAGATTCTACAAAGTTGACAACAATTTTAAATATTTGCAGTTGACAAAACAAAAATAGATACTTCCATCAATGGCCAATATAGACCGAAAAACTACAGTGTAATTCACCTTTACTGATGACAGTGTCTATGGAGATTCTCAGTCATCCAGGTCATGGTTGTGCCAAAGGTGCTTTTTCAAAAGCCAACAGGACTTTGTTTTTCCTTGAAGACATTTTGCTTCTCACCCAAGAAGCTTCTTCAGTTTTGATTGAACTGTGAATCCATTCAGTCAGAACTGAAGAAGCTTCTTGGATGAGAAGCAAAATGTCTTCAAGGAAAAACAAAGTCCAGTTGCCTTTTGGCAAAAGCACCTTTGGGGTTTACAGATGACAAAAGATAAGAGAAGCTAGGTAAACAGAAGCAAAAACTAACTTCCTGAACACTTGAAAAACATTGAATAAAAAATCTGAGAGAGAATTCAATTTTGCAAAACTCTAATTGCATTTCTTTGTTCATATAATATATTATAGTTGCAAAACCCATATAGGTCAAGCCACAAATTCTAGTCCGTAGGATATAACTGAAAAGAAAGTACCCAATGCTAAAACTTGCGTTCTCTGGAATTTTTTCTAATGAAGAACCAGCATTCACTGCCCACCAAGGAGCTCTTTCTCTTTTAGCCTAACTTACTATACACGAGGATAATAGCAAAAAAAAAAAAATCAGATCTCTGAATATGAGCACTAAATTATCCCCAGAAAAAAGGACTAGAACAGCAGTTATGCAGAAGTAATTTTAAGTAAGATTGCCCTACCCACTTCCCAAGTAATTAAGTTCCCATAAACTTAAAACTTTAAAATGCTGAAGGCAATATGTTGTCAAAATATTGATTTAACAGCGACCCAGCTTATATAATGTAAGATATAATCATGGGAATGACTCAGCAGGGTCTGTGTCTCTTTAAGAGCCTTTGTATAAAGGGAAGGTTCTGCTGATGTGTTCCTCTGTTCCCAGCTGTTTTCTATTTGGCTAAAAAGTCCTTGAAGTTCAAAGGAACAAGTTGTTTTTTTATTTCTGGGCGTCTTGCCAATTTCTGAGTCAATGCAATTGTTGTTCTATTCTAATCCTCCACTAGATGTCAGCAGCTATTCATTTTCCAACTTTTAAAACAAAGAATTAGTTTCTTATAATTTTATCAGTACTCTTCCAGATGTAGAATTTTAACGTTTTTCATAATTTTCAGATTTGTCCAGACTGTAGTATTATTAACTTCATTTCAATATATTTCTGTCCCCCATAAAAATTAAATTGCTGCTTCTGTCTATGGAAGGGTGGGGATATGTCCCCTCTCTTCTCACTTTTGGAGGATTTTTTGCTTCTTGGGGATCTTTTCCAGGAAATCAATTTCAAAAATAGAGAAAAGAAGATCAATATTCTCACTCAGCTCCAACACTCTGTTCACAGTTGTTCTTAGTTGGTGCTTTTGGACTTCGGATGCCAATAGTCACTAGTCACCGGAGTACAGCTAGCCTTTCTCCTGTCAGGTTAGAGGGCTTACCCCGGATCAAATAGATCAACTGCCATCATTCCGTGATCAGCGGGGGACCCCTCCTTTCTTCGTCGCCTCTCTGGGCTGACTTTAGACCCATTTAGGGACCCCTGGCAGGGCAAAACCAGCCGTGGGGTGCAGAGCCTTGCAATTCCTCGGTTGCGTCACTACGATGCAAAACTGTAACTCTCCATTTGCCTGCTTTCTGAAGACTTACTGAAGTGTCATGATAAAAGATACACGTGGAATCATAAGCTGTTTAATAATGTGACAGTAAAATTGTCTATAAAAACAGAAAGTAGAACTGAGGATTCTGTACTTACTGAATAAATATTTTCAGGGACTTAGATAAAGTTTATGTTTTCTCCTCTATTTCATTTCTACACATTTTGCTCAATACTTTTTCAAATGACACTGGTGAAGACTTACCACTTTTTCTTTTCCAACAGAATGAACAACCATTGACACACTCTGAGCCATGAGAAATCCATTTCCTTCCACAGTGATGGTTCTGCCTCCACTATTAAATCACAATAAAGGGAAGCAGAAAGGTAAGGGATTGGATGAAAAATTGAAGGATGAATGCTATATATATGGGAGATATAAGCTTAATAAGTAAAATATTGTCCTAATAATTCTTTGTAGAATAAATATTATTTTTATGAAACATGAAATATATACATTTTCCCAGTACTTATTATATGAAAAACAAAACTTAGATTCAAGGACATAGAAATTTATATTTGTCCCTGAATCTTTGTCAAATGTTCACTTGACAAAAATATATTTTTTTCTCCTTTTAGGAAGACTTGACAACCTTCTGCTCTTTAAGTAGAAGAATAAGGTTTTTGATGTACATCACTATATAACATTTTATTAACTTGGTGCATATGCTTTATTTAGGACACATGGATTGTTTTATCCATATTGCACGTATATATAGGCTGTATATAAGATTTACATGTAACTAAGACATGCCTTCCCCATGTATATGAAAATAAAATGAAAAGAATGTTGTGTCAGAGTTCAAGCCACATGCTTACATATTTGTATCTAGATGCAAATATGAAAGGCTGGGGATTGTATCATTATGTTACAGCATACATCATTTCTTTATCATCACGGTTGTACCAGATACTTATGATTTCATACAGTTCTGTAAACATGCTCCTCTTTCTCTGCAGCAATGGACACCAAAGGTCCTCAAAAACTGCTAGGCAAATCTCGACAATGACTATTTCTGTCTTTACCCAACTAGGTCTCAAAAATACACATTAGGTTTCTCTGCTCCTCCCCAGCCAAATCATAGAAAAACACGATTTCCTTTTAAACATTTGCTAACAGTAGACTGAGACCAAGACAATCAGTGATACCGTATAGCATCCAGGAGTATTCAAGAAGTTACTGGAGCAGAAAATTATCAATTAATCAAGAAACATTTCGCCACTGAACTTGAATGGAAACAGAGTTTGAATATTTTTTTTTTCTTGCTGGCAAACCAAAACCTTCGGCAGCAGCTGCTTACAAGTAAACAATAAGTTTGAATACTTTTCCCCTTAAAACAGTGGTTCTCAACCTTTCTAATGCCGTGACCCCATAATACAGTTCCCCATGTTGTGGTGACCCCCAACCACTTATACATCACCAGGTGCCAGGGGCATGGCCAAAGAAAAGGGGAAAAAATGGCGGACATCCTTGTTTGGCGACCCCCATGAAATGGCCGTTCGACCCCAAATGGGGTCCCGACCCACAGGTTGAGAACCACTGCCTTAAAAGCTGCCTATAAACAGCTAAATGTGGCACTACCTCTGCAGAATCTATGAAAGGAAGTGACCCCAGAACATGCCACTGGCGTTGGGAGCAGAAAAGGGGAATGGCCTATATCCACTGATTAACAAAAACTTTTATCCAGGCTTTCTCTTGCATCCAACCTTTTATTATTTCACACACTTCATGTCCCATCTGCTTTAACTATATTGGCTCATTAGGAAATCAGAACATAGTAATACATCCATCTAGCCTCAAAAATACTCAAACCAGAATATCCCATATAGGACTTCACAAATCATTTAAGCTTCTCTAAGTCCTAATATGCTGTTCTTATCTATTTTGTACCTCATACCATTTCTGTGTGAACGTTTGGGGGATACGGCTTCTCTGAAGAAAAATTCTACACAGTGTTTGATAATTGTGATTTGACTTCAGTGTTTGATTGATTTGACTTCAGTACCAATGTCACTGGTACAATATCATTTAACATTACATTTATTTCAATCTTAAACTTTTGCCAAGCATAAGTTGCTATATTTTGTAGCTGCTGACATACATTTTTGAGCTACTTCTCTTGATCCTCAGAATAAAACAATTAAGATAATTTTACATCAAGCATTGAGAACTGGAAGTGTCATCATTGCTCACTTTCAGAGATTTTTCACGCATGTTAAAAGTTGGTCCCTGTAATTAAAAGTCACAATTCTCTTTAAAGAACTACTAAAAATCAGGAGTTTCGGCCTTATACACACACTCTGAGTGACATGGTCTTGAGGAACACTTGCTTGTTTCTTTATTCACATTATCCTGTGTTATACTTAAATAAGTATTAAGCAGGGAGTGAATTCACAGACGTTCAGAAAAGAACAGGAGCCTCGAGGCCTTGAAGAAGAAATGACATCAAAGGCAATGTATTTTAAGAACAAATATACTAGTTTCTTAATAAAAAATATGCAACCTATATAAGAAGTGAGGGCCAATAAAATAATATTATTTTATATGGATTTGCCTGAAGTTTTTATATGATTTGAAGCATATAAAATTAACATTTTTCTGGGTTAAGAGTGAACAAGTGCTTGACTCATCAACTATACTTTTCACAGCAAATCTTTCCAACAAGGTTGAAAGAGTACAGTATATTGAGCAAAGGGGTGCAAGGGGTAAAAATAATTCCTTCCATAAAAAATGATTAATAAAACATAACGTAATTTTTCCAGAAGTTGAATCAATATTATAGTTGCAGGGTAGGTTCTAGATCTGAATTTCATGCCCTGACAGTGTTTTGGGTCACTGAACTATTTCCTAGCCAGCTGGGTGGGAAAAAAAATTCTTGAAGACCCTCGTGTGAGCAAGCTATTTCTAAGAAACCAGGCCCTGTTCTCACTGAAATACACCAGGCCTTAATCGACCTCTTCAATGAGCCAATATACCAGGATAGTAGGTCATCTTCATTTGCATCACCACATTATGAATCTGGCCTGTGATCCATACAGCTGCATCAATGACTGGATTCCAAGAATACTTATTGTACAAAGTTTATTGCATTACCCAAATTTCAGTGAAGAATGGGTATGTGGGGACAATCCTCTACCAGAAAGCAAAAGAAAAGGTGAAACGGGGTCAGTCTCTGCTTTGATGTACTTAGAAGGAGTAATCAGAAAGCCTGAGGACTTCCTCTGCTATCATTCCAAGTGGCTGGAAATCGCCCCATGGAAGATTTCCTTCCAGTGCACTAATGGTGGTTGCATTCTGACTGTCATGTCAGGTCCTTGTCTCTATACCAGATAAAATTATTTGCCATTGGTTAAAACAGGCATGGAAGTTGCCTCTTCTCTATAATCTTCAGAATAATATACACAGCTTCCATGAATGCACTAGATTTAACCCAGACCACTTCTGCAAGATCTCACAGAGAAAGCTATCTTACCTGACTGGACTCTTTTTGGGGTTGATATCTGTTATACTTGGATTTTTCTCATACTGAAAGTTGTTAGAACCAATGCAAGACTTGTCTTCAAATTGGACACAGACAAACACGTGGATAATAGTTTCCACACTTGGCATGGTACAAATGATGGCAGTATCAGTGCGACTATAAAGAAAGGATAAACATTTCTGAATATAACTCATGGATGTGCCCAGTGAGAATCCTCGCTGCATGATATTCATCTGAAGGTTTAAAAGTAACAAAGGCTTATGAAACTGTAACAAAAAAAGGAAAGAATACTGAAGAATATATCTAACTCAGGGTTGGATTGTTGGATGCTTGGTATTCATTGAAGGCTGCCCAGAGTTGCTTGATTGTGAGATGGGTGGCATATAAATTTAATAAATAAATTCATATACAAAAAGAAATCCAAGTTCAGAGAACTCCAAGAAACATTGCTTTCCAATTTCTGTTTTTTGGAAGTTTTAGCATTTGTAGATTATTTGGAAATTCTGATATATATTATACAAATATTGAGAAATAAATTGTAATTGCTACCAGATAGACATCCTCCATAAATTACTTGATCTAATAAAAAACTGTTTATTATTACAAGACAGTTATATATGAATATCGTATAGCACTAATACCAAGTCTAGGCTATCCATCAAAAGTATATCCTTTAAACTTTGGAAAATTATCATCTCTACTCCAAACCCAATGGATACTTTAGAAAACATATTTCTTAGAAAACATTCTTATTCAATTAGTTATTTGTTATGAAAAGTATAACTTCTAACCTTTACAGCTGCACCATGTTTCATTCTGAGCAGTATTTACCTTATGTCTCTGCATTCTTTTGTAGTATTGAGCAAAACTCGAAGCTTAGATCCTATACTGAGATTATTTCCTGTGATAGTTACTTTGGTACCACCAGCTTTTGGTCCAACAGATGGAGACATAGATTTCACTACTGGAAGCTAAAAAGGCAAAAAAAAAAAAAGAGAGAGAGAGAGAGAGAGAAAAATGTCAAGAAGATACACTGGTTTCCTAGTTTGTAGTGACATCTCCGTTCAGAAATGTAAATGTTGCAAACATTTAAAAAATTGCTCGTGACAGGCCCTATTATCATTCTCCAACAAACCAAAGATGTTAAAATATCATAGGGAAAAATAATCCTAAGTTAATTGCTTGGAAATCAATCACACTATTTAGTACTGCACACTATAAAAACTATTAAATGATATCACTGTTACATTACTTACAAGATTAATGTAAAATGTTTGGAAAGAGTTGTCCTTAACAGCCTATCTTTTCATTTTTGTCTCACCTGAATCAGACACAGTGAACTGGATGAGAGTAACAAGTTGCAACTTCATTAAGGTAACCAAAAGTATTATTGGTGACAGGATGTTTACACAAAAAAAAGTATCTATTTGTGAGGTTTTTCCTTCCATATGATACCTATGCTAACATCGTTTCAGTACCACAGAATTTTTATATTTTTCCCCCCAAATTATTCTAACTTGTCAATTCCTTCCACCTGATTTAAACTGCTTTTACAAAAGCTACTTTCTGGCCTGATGGAAAAAACAACAACAAAACTTACAGATCTATCAGAGAGATGTACTTTACATAGAATAGGATAACCTGTTTATTTTAAGAATCATTTTAGTGTAATGTGCAGGTTTAAGTATCACTGTAAAAGTAGGTAGATCTGGGTATCTTTGTGACAAAGAAGATTCAGATAGTCTCTTTAATTCTCATAAACATTCAAGTACTCAATGGATAAGGCATATTTAAACTTTATGTTTTTATTAATTTATGATATATTCCACATTTGTTTGTGCATATCACTGGAAATCACAACTTTTCCTTATGACAATTCATGATTAAGAATTACCAGAAATTACGTACAATGTAAGAAAATTGCTCCTTGGATTTTCCTTCTTTGCTCACATTTACTGTCACCACATCGGAAAATTCTTCTGTTGCTTCTCCAGTCCAGCAAACAATTCTATGTAAAAATAAGATTTTGACTGAAAAATAAGAAATGTGACCAGACTACAAAATATGTCAAGTATAGACAAAATATGAACTTATGGCTCTTTGGGTATTGTTTTTGTTTTATTTTTAAAGAGCGTTTACATTTTTTAAAAGCTGGCATACTGTATTATTTTTATTTTCAAGAATGCCTCTATGCCTTATGTGGGCCTCATAAGCATTTCTGAAAAAATAATAAGTCACATACCATTATTCTGTTATAATTTTTTATTATCCTTGTTTCTGAAGTAATGCAACAATTTGAAATTAGATATAGCAATCTAAGTAAAACAGGATATTTAGGAATGGACAATTCCACCCAAATCTGATTAAAGTCAGAGTCTATATGCCCATTTCAGCTGTTTCTCATTCATAATAACTGATATTTCTGAAATTCTGTTACCAATTCTGATGATTACAGACTCATCAAAATCTGGCCATTATAGTCTACTCTTGAAATGTGCAGTTGACTAAAAAAACAAAACAATGTTTGTTTGTTTTTTTAAAGTAATATGTGTCCCGGTCATCCCATTATTGCCCTGTGATGGCTTACTAACTCTATATTTCTTAATATGCATAGATGATGTAGATGTGGACATGATCACATGAATGTACTTTGAATTATATATAAACATATCCAAATTCATCTGATTTTTACAGATTATCTGGAAAGACAGAGTAACTCCATATTTAACATCTTGACTCAGGTGATATGTACTTGCTTTCAATTCATGAACTATGGATGTGACAGAATGATTGATCAATATTATTCTGTTTGGTCAAAGTTTAATGATATGTTTTAAACATGTCCTGAATGGTTTTCTCTTGATTTATAATATGATCTTGTTGTTATTTTAATTGTTTGGGTTTTTTTTTTTTTGCTTTTTTGTCTTTTAGGGTTTTCTCCCTTTCCCCCCCTCTATTTTGTAAATTTAAATAATACTTTTAAAAAGTGACTCCACTGATTTAAAGATGCTACCAACTTCTGCTTGGAATAATGATCTAAAATGTAAAGAATGTCTGCACCAAAAACCACCGCACTGCTTTAATTAATTAAACCATAACTTTTTCATTAGTCCTTTGTCCAATGTGCTATTTATGCATTTTTCATCTTCGTGTAGAGTTTTCCTAGAAATTACAATATGTTCTTTCGAATAGCACTAATACCAGATACAACAAGGATTTTTGTTTTCTACTAAGTGGCTGTTATTGTCAAATGATAATATTGTTGTGGTAAATATATACAAACTTAGCCAGGGGTGTTGTGGGATGGTGGTTTAAAACTGAAGATGACAGCCACTATTCCAATCACCATATCCCTTCCCCCCCCCCCACGGATGCCCTGTACTCAACTTTATTATGTCATATATGTTACAAAACAGAATGGGAATAATTTCTGTAGGATAAACAGTAGCCTACAATATAATATAATATTATATAATATAATAATTATATTATTATATAATATAATAAGACCACATTTGGAATATAGGATAAGCAGTAGCCCACAATATAATACAATATTATATAACATAATAATTATATTATTATATAATATAATAAGACCACATTTGGAATGATGCATCCAGTTTTTGATCAACATGATATAAAAAAAGATGTTGAGACTTAGAAAGAGTGCAGAGAAGAGCAACAAAAGTGATTGGGGGACTGAAGCTAAAATATGTGAACAATGGTTGCAGGAATTGGGTATATCTAGTCTAGGAAAAGAAGGACTAGGGGGACATGATAGCAGTGTTCCAATATCTCAGGGGCTGCCACAAAGAAGAAGGGGTCAACCTATTTTACAAAAAACTTGAAGGCAAGACAAAAAGCAATGGATGGAAACTAAATCAAGGAGAGAACCAATTCAGAACTAAGGAGAAATTTCCTGACAGTTAGAACAATTAATCGTGGAACAACTTGGCTCCAGAAGTTGTGTGTGCTCCAACACTGGAGATTTTTAAGAAGAGACCATTTATCTGAAATGGTATAGGGTTTCCTGCTTGAGCAGGGGGTTGGACTAGAATACCTCCAAGGTCACTTCCAACTCTGTTATTTGTTATTATAAATGTTGAAAATGTACCCTTCTCCTGCACATGAGAAAGAAAGAATGTCATGCTGCCCACATTATTGCTATTAAAAGATCTTATACTGACGAAGAAGCTGCAACAGTGGCTATGAGGGAGAACATTTTGAGCTTGGTCAGAAAATTGAAGGGCCACTGTAGGAAGTTATAAACTTAATGATGCTTTAATTCATAAATGCTCAGAAGTAGAAAATGTATCAGGGACAACACTAAGCTGTAATAGCATGTTCAGACATTCAATCTCATACATTTATTTTATTTACGATGCATTTTTGGCATGGCTATGCATATTTTCCTTTTTCTTAATTCAAGCATACTATCTCTACCTATATCCATCAACTCTCCATAATGTATATAATCTGTGTTTCTTTCAAAGTAAAAATGTTGTTATAGTGCTTTTAGTAACAGAACAACAAAGAGTCAGTAATTCTAGATTGCTTATTTGTTGAACTTTTTAACCTTGGTTCTTGAGTGAGTATATAGCATTTTCAGAATACAATATCTTGTGAATTTCTCCCAAGGATGAGTTCACTCCAAAGCAGGATATAGACAGTCACCTCAGTTGGTCTGTGAAGCCTGTCTAGTTTTGATAATGAAGACAACTGCAAAAAGGATGTGGATGTGAAGCTAGGAGAAAAATTGATAGAACTGTAGAAATTATTTCTAAACTATGACAGCATGGGGAGCAGCTGTGTAAGTTTTATTACACTTGTCGTCCTAAGTTCCTCCCTGTCTACAAGAGATGAGAAAGGTCTGAATTTTGTGAATTACAGTTGTTTGTTACACAAAGACAGCTAACTAAAGAGCAATTTGTGCTTGTCAGTGAAGTATTACTATACATAAAAAGTAATTTCCTTACTTAGGTTATATGTGTGTTTAAAAAAAAATCCCATGAAATGTATGTGATTTTTTAAAAATCGGAATAATAATATATAGCACAAAAAAAGAGCTTGAATTCTAGGATGTGAAAGCTTCAATTTTAAGTTTTAGTTTTGTTACCTATAATTTTGAAGGAATTTTCTCATGAAAAAAAAAGAAAAGATCAAACATTTTGAATATGTACATATATATTAGTGATTTCTTCTGGAATGGGGTGGCCCGAATAATTTCCATAGGAGACAGACCGCCAAGCCAGCGTGATGACTTAGTTTAGAATTCCCTATGTGGGCATAAGAGATGAAATCCAACTCCTCTTGAATGATGTTGAATCTTATCTGGTCTCACTCAGGTGCAAAAGATTTCTATGTAAAGGCTTAGCAATAAAACAGCTAATTGATTTCTTCAATATGGGTCTGGTTGTTTGCACCTGATGGTTTCATTCACTGGACGAGTAAGCAAATAACAGCAGTTAGTAGTAACGGTAACAGAAGTTAAGGACTGAATATTCTGTTATCAATTTACATATTAACAGAATCACGCAATCTTCTACGCAGTCATATGCCAAGCCATATCATACCTGAAGCCCGAAGCGAGAAAGGATCAATCAGTTAAAAAGTACAAAATAAACCCTTCCCATGTATACGATTTCAAAATAATTCAGCCTGAATTACTCACTCTTCGGAGACTATATATCTGTCCTGAAGTGGTGAGCATTTCACATTTCCTATCTTGACAGCATTAACAACATCACTGAATCTACGGCCAAGATTTCTCCCTCGAATCGTGATCTGAGTTCCTCCTTCCAAGGGTCCATCCAGAGGCTCAATCTGCAAGTTCAAAGGAAACTTAATGAACACAGATTAAAACAAAGGGAGGGATTTTTTTTATTCGCTCTAACAAATAAGCCATATCCTTAACATTCATAAATGATTTAAACTTTGTATGGCTTAATTTTATACCATCTCTCATCCTGCTAGAGGCGTGGTGGCTCAGTGGCTTAAAATATGCTGGAGAAGGTCTATACCAGGGGTAGGCAACCTTGGCTCTTTTATGACTCATGGACTATGCTGACTCAGGAATTCTGGGAGTTGAAGTCCATGAGTCATAAAAGAGCCAAGGTTGCCTACCCCTGGTCTATACTCTTCTGGTTCAAGTCCTATCATCACATGACGGAATGAGTTCCTGTCACTTGCCTCAGCTCCTGCCAACCTAGCAGTTTGAAGGCATGTAAATGCAAGTAGATAGATACCACTTAGGTGGGAAAGTAACAGCATTCTGTGTTTTCCCATATGCTTTGCACTGTGGCATGATGTTATGCTGCCCACATGACCGTGGAAACATCTTTGGACAGTGCTGGCTCAATGGCTTAAAGGAGCAGAGATGAGCATTGCTTCCTAAAGCTGGCATATGACTAATGGAATAAAACTCTCAGGGGCTCCTTTACTTTAACTAATGTATCTTTTCAAGGAATGTGAAAAGCAACAAGATTAGCCAATGGAAAAATATAGATATACTGTAACATTCTTCGCAATTGATTCAGTAGTGTTAATCCCTAACATTTACATTATCTTCATTGGAATTACCCATTTTGTAAATGTGATGGTCAGAAGCTGCAATGGTATTTCACAACAATACCAAATCTCAGGGGAGATTTCATTTGTTATCACTTATTTTTTCCATGAACCAAAGTCACTGATTTCACAGGATGTTTGAGCTATCTTAATACCTACAATTAGAAAAAGCATTTTGTGACAAATCTATAAAAACAACTATAAAGCTGGTGAAGGCTACGAAGGAACAACAGCCTTCCTTCCTGGAAGTTCAGTTACAAAGCCTGCAGCTTGCCTTTCCCTGTAGCTGCTGCCAACATAACATGACGTCAGCCAGGGCAGAAGGTCAAGAGCGGAGGCGTTTTCTTCCGCCAAGCTGCTTAAACTTGATAATGTCCCTGACTTTACTGCTCCAGTAGGGTTACAGTTGTCCTCATCTTCCTCCTCACAGGACAACTCTAGTGACACTAAAAAAAAACCCCTAGTTTATTTTTGAAATGGAATATACAGGATCTGCTAAGGAAATAGCATCCTAGTCTAATAATGTTAATGCTGATGATTTGTTTTCACTAGTTGCTTTTGGCAAGGAGCAAGAGGCTCAGTTTCCTACACTGTTCAGTGGAATTGAGTGGACCTAATTAGCATTTCCTCTGCATTGTTAGACCAAAGAAACTGAAACATATTTTACATATTAATAATAAATTAGCTTCTTGATTTTGAACAGATGAGGAACCTACCAACTCTAAGCTCCCTGGATTAATTAGCTTTTTCTGAATTAACTACTTTGTTCCATTAAAATTCTTTAATATCTTGCTGGTTTCCTATATGGAGATTGCTAAATAAACTGTATACAGGTCCTCAACTTACAATAGTTCACTTAGTGACCGTTCGAAGTTATAACAGCCCTGAAAAAAGTGACTTATGACCATTTTTCACACTTATGCTTGCTGCAGCTTTCCCACAGTCACACAATTAAAATTCAGATGCTTGGCAACTGACTTATATTTATGACTGTTGCAGTGTCCCGGGGTCATGTGATCACGACCTTTTGCGACTTTCTGACAAGCAAAGTCAATGCGGAAGCCAGATCCACTTAACAACCATGCTACTAATTTAACAGCTGCAGTGAGCCACTTAACAACTGTGGCAAGAAAATGGGGCAAAACTCACTTAACAAATGTCTTGCCTAGCAACGGAAGTTTTGGACTCAGTTGCGGTCATAATACAAGAACTATCTGTATTGCACTCGTAGATTTTGATTAGAGAGAAGAGAATGGAGATATATTTTACTACTTCTACACACTTCAAAAAGCTGAGCTACTGACACAGATGAGGATACTGATCATACCACACATTCATCATACCAGAGCTAACAAGGAGTGAGACATGTGAATTCAACAGGAGGAAAAGAAAGGTTAATTGGAGAGGCTATTTGATCTGAAGGACTTCATGGTGAACTAGGAGGGCTGGAAAGTTCATCTCCTGAATACTTGCTGATTGAAAGGTGTTTGTCCTGCGACTTCCTGATTATTTACTGTGGGTGATGGAGTGGCTGATTCTTTTTTAAAAAATTAACTAAATACAAAACCCAAAGAAAAACTACACAAAATTATAAAAGAAGAAAAGCCAAAACCAGAAACAACATATACAGCATATATTCACATACAAACATACATATACAGTTGTACAGTAAACATTTCAACGGATGGAAGCTATAATTTGTTGCAGTCCTCATAGCTAATCTATAGTGACAAATTCTGCAAAGCACCAAAGAGTTGGAGACACATGTTTCTCTGCCCAATACTGAAAAATGGAATGAGGAGTGTGAGTGCTTCTTGAGGAATAATCAGAGACTGTAAGAGGAATATAAGGCAGCCAGATTCCAGAGAATTAGCCCACCGAATGAACTAACAGGGACAAGTGATTAGAACTCCAGCATGGAAAACTATAATCAAATTTAAAGTTAAAAATTTTATTTGGCAATGTGAGAATATGTAAATAAAATGAAATCTTTTCAAGTATTGCTGCGTAAAGAAGCAAAAGCGAAGATGAATGATTAGGATGACGCAACATGATCTGCAAAGTCTGCAGCTTGTTTTCCTTGAAGACAACCAGGCACATATTTGCAGCAAATGCAAATTTATGAAGGAATCTCTTTCTTCCAGTACATATAGATGACATTTCAAAGAACATCTACAAGCATTTATTACCATACAGGTAGTCCTTGACTTACAACCTTCATTCAGTCATTGTTCGAAGTTACAACGGCACTGAAAAAAGTAACTTATGACTTTTTCTTACACTTACGACCATAGCAGCATCCCCATGGTCACATGATCAAAATTCAGATGCCTGGCAACTGATTCATATATATGACGGTTGCGATGTTCCGAGGTCGTATAATTTACCTATTGTAACCTTCTAACAAGCAAAGTCAATGGGGAAGCCAGATTCACTTAATCACCATGTACTAACTTAACAACTGCAGTAATTCACTTAACAACTGTGGCAAGAAAAGTCGTAAGGTGGGGCAAAACTTATTTAACCAATGTCTCACTTAGCAATAGAAATTTTAGGTTCAATTGTGGTTGTAAGTTGAGGACTACTTGTATTACCTGAGATTCTGAAAACTTTCAGAGAAAACATGATAATCTGGGCACTCAAGTAGCATTTTTACCCATCCCTCCAGCTCATGAATAAATATAATGAAAGGAAAGAAGAACACTACAAGTCAGTAACTAACTATGCAAGTGGTATCAACAGAAAAGATTGGGTAAGATAGTTATGCATGCTGTTCATGTTCTTGTGGAGAGCCATCGTGCATCTTGCTACACAAGCATGTGTTGTTGGTTTTTATCTGTTTTCTGCCTTTTTTTCTCTTGGACTTCAAGTGTAAAATAAGGAGTTGCTCTGATGAGCATGGGCATATACCTTTACCCACGAAAGGTTTTTTGTTCTATGTGCCATTGAGTACTATAAAGGTAATGCATCATAAAGTAAATTTAATTTGGATTCTGAACCATGACTTCAGATTCCAAATCAGTCTTGAAGGCTAGCTACTTATTTTAGTCAGTAATATTGGGTAGCAGAGAGCTTTATTTTTAAGTGAAAGCAGTTGTTGGTGAATTATGGGTTCCAGGTAAGACTAGAGAGAAGATAATCACCTCTACTGTTTTCAGTGTGGGGAAGAATAGGCTGATAGAAAAGCTGAAGAAGAGACTACTGAAAAATTTCAAAGCTATTTTTATTCCTGAATCATTAAAGATACCAGAGACAGAGAAAGTGGCTCATTTGGAATTGCTTATTTTAAATGCTTTTTTTCTGTAATTGAAACCAATTAAAAACCTCACTGAAAGCAATACATTTGTTGCTCAAATCTCCTGATAAGAGCACGGTGGAGTTAAAAGAGATAGTTACCGTCTCTCAGGAAGCAAGACTAAATTAACTCAAAAGTGCTGATAAACAATGTACTAAAGATGTTGAAAGGCGGGTTGAAAGGGAATGGTGATTACCTGGCTGATAAAGGGGGGGGGGAGAGATCTTAGTAGTAAATTGGAAACAAAACATGAGGTGACAAAATGATATGGCTGGGAAGAAACCAAATGAGAATGAGATGGGTGGTATCTATAACTAAAATGAATGAATGAATGAATGAATAAAGTTTTTGGCTACATAATCAGCATTATTTGCAAATCATCTTTGGGGTCATTGTTCTGCTTTGGGCATACTCCATCTTAAATCCAGTGACTAGTTTTGCATAGAGTACCACAATGTTAAAACGATTCAATGGTATTGGAACAGCATATTGCAGAGAAGTGCAATAAGGATGATCAGGAAATCAAAACCTACCAAGAGAAACTGACTCTTTAGACTTAGGATGACTGGGTTGGATATGACAGCATTCTTCAAATACTTGAAAGATACTACATAGAAAAAGGTCCTGTTCTTTCTCAATCCAGAGTGTAGGACTACAATAATATACAAGATACAGATTCTGACTGCATATTAAAAGAAAATCCTAAAAGTAAAAATAGTGTGAGATGAACTAATTACCCAGAAAGCAAAAGACTTTTCTTTCTCGGATACGTTGAAATGGATCATAGGCACACACCTGGCTACAATCCTTTAATTTGGAATTTGGCATTAAGCAGAATGTTAGACTAAATGGGTTCTTCCAACACTATGGTTCTATATGTTTACACATTATCTCCTCAACAAAAGAGATTCTACATGTTGAAAATCTATCTTGTGTGAACACCATTTTTTCCCCAAGTAACCTGGCTCTTTATTTTTTTTTAAATAAAGTTTTAACTCTTCTATTCATACAAAAGGAAATTTTACAGCCACTTAATCTTTTGCTGGATGAAATCTAGTATTTGGAAGATTTGAACTTGTATACTGCCATACAACTCTAATGGATCTGGATCACTTAAAGTGGAAGGAATGACATATAAATTCCCTTTAAATTAATGAGCATAATTCCCATAATCTTTGACAGGAAAACACATTTTAATCATATTATAGTAATGCTTGCATTCCTATCTCAGGTTTCAGGACATATCTCATTTAAAAACTGTGATCCATGATTCTCTTGTAAAGGGTGTTCACATGATCATTCATTGATTCTATCATTTATAGGTAGGCAAACATACAGTATCTGCTACAAAGACCAAAATTCAGATTCCTTCCTCAACTTCCATTCAGGACACCAGGTTTCTCAATTCTGTAGACAGACTCTCCATTCTTTGTCTTTTACTTTAAAGCCTCAAGAGTTGAAATACAGTGAATACTGCAGTGAATCCAAAGTTTACCTTTCTAATTTCAGGAGGAGGGCACATGGCTGGGATCTGGAAAAATTCAGTATTTAATCTGCAACTAGAAGTGATCTCGCTCCAAATGCACTGGTGACCAAGATCTTCTCTCCCAAGACACTGAGAACAATCAGCACTTCCAGTTGCACAGTTATAAATCTCCACTGGAAAAAAACAGATAAGGTATGCTAAAATTAAAATATGCATGATCCCTCCCCGATTCCAGCAACGTAACATTTTAAATCCAATGGAGGAATAAGAGATTGTACAAGAGTTTTCTGCTGTGATCCTAAAGCTTTTCCAGAAATTCTTGGCACTTCTCCTTTCTTCATAATTTAGTACTTAAGCATTCCCTTTTTGTCACACTGTGCTGTTTTTAAAATTCTAGACCACTTCACATGAGAACCAACTCTGCACTATAGCATCCAGTAAGAAAAAAAATGTAAATTTTCAATAGCAAATATTATTTAAAATGCTCAGTGTGATGTGTACAGGTCACTAACTTGCCATCAAAAGGAAGGGAAGGGAATCAGGAAAACTGAGCCTTATAATGGTGATATGAGAACAGATGTTAGTCCTTATTACAAAACTGAACATCAGCAAGTCACCAAGTCCAGATGGTATCCACCCAAGGGTTATTAAGGACCTTAAAGCTGGGACTGTGGACCTTCTAACTAAAACATGTAACCTGTTTTTACTCTTGGCCTCTGTAGTTGAGAACTGGAAGTTGGCCAACGTAACTCCAATTTTTAAGAGCAGCTCCTGGGGAAATCCAAGAAATTATAGGCCTGTCAGTTTAACATCTGTGCTGGGGAGGAGAGTGGAAACAGCTATTAAAAATTATACTATCAAACATCTGGAGACACAACCCATGTTCAAGGATACCCAACATGGTTTCACTAAGGATGCTCCTGTCTAACTAATTTACTAGCGTTTATTAAGGGTGTTAATAAACATGTGGATAAGTATAAGTCATCAAAGACTTCTCAGTAAGTCTTCTGGTTGAAATTCAAGGTCATATTCATCACCTATAAAGCAATCCATGGCTTAGGGCCAGGGTACTTCTATTATTTATTTTTTGTTATACTTGATCTAATAAATAGGTTAAGCTTCAGGTCTCTTCCTTCAAAAAAATTGGAATTTTTGTTGGAATCATATCATTTCAGTAGCAGCATTTACTCTGTAGAACAGGATCCCTTGGTGTTTTGGTTGGCCCTAAAGCTGTAAGCTTTTCACAGGCACTGAATAGGTGGCTGTTTCCCCACTCTCCAAAGGGATTTCTGCACATTAGGGAAGTACAGTAGGCATCCAAATGGTAGATGTCATTCAATATAAGCAAGTGTAAAGTGATACACATTGGTGGCAAAGATCCTAACTACTCATACAAACTAATGATACCAGAGCTAGCAGTAACTGTTGAGGAAAAAAGATCTCGGAGTATAATGGTAAACAGTTCAATGAAGGTGGGAGAGATTACTGCTCATGTTCCAAGGCTATTGACTTTTGTTCTTTTTGTTTGTTTTGCACGCAAATTATTGATTGGTTCTCACAATTCTTCATTATTAAAGAAATGCCTTGATTTTTCTCGGTATTGGTAACTTTGTTTGATTATGGATTCTTTTTACTTTTTAAATTGGTTGTTAGCTATCCAGAGTTATATTTAAGATGAGCAATCGTGTACATTTTCTAAATAAATAAACTGTATAAATAAAAAAAAGTTCAGAATATTTGTAAGTGGTTTACAAACATCTTAAGCCAATAGAAACCAATAAATAAACTGTATAAATAAAAAAAAGTTCAGAATATTTGTAAGTGGTTTACAAACATCTTAAGCCAATAGAAACCAATAATTTTCAACATTTGTGTAAACACATTAAAGGTTACATTTTTCTAAAAAAAATCTGTATGTATCATTCACAAACATTCAGATAATTTGTCCCTGAAATAAGAGATTCTCATTAATCAATAGCCAGTACTAAAACTTGGTGAAACATGGTATAGAATTGGACTTCAGCTAATCTATAGACTAGAAAAAGAATTTTGAAACAAAGCAAAATTCTATCAAGATTGTTCATTCCATAGCAAATAGGTGAATTGTAGACTGTTTATAGACATTCCCAATATCTTTAGAATTTTGCAATTAAAAACTGCATATACATTTTTATTTGCATATTATGGTTAATAGATTTTAAAGATCTATGATCCACAAATACAAGTGTTATCTGAGTTCTGCCAGTATTTTGAGAGAACATTTGTTGTGGATATTACAAAGCTCAGCTAGATAAACAATACCTTCATATATTACCAATGTGCTAGTGAAGCTTCAATCAATTTGAAATAAAAAATAGGCCCAAAGTAAAATGTAAATCAGCCTTAAACTATTAGATACCACATATCTTGTACTATAACAATAATTCAATTCCAAAATACATTTGTTCTGTATGTCTTATTGACATAAACTTAACAATATGCAGATATCTTGAAGCTGAATGAGAAAATACATTCTAAATACAATGGCAAGTGTTATTTTTATCAATATTCATAGTTTGCTAGTAACTATATAAAACCCACTTTTGAACAAGAACCAAGATATCTGCATACAGATATGAATTCTGTATAATCGAAATACTGCATTTTTTGGCTTTACAAACTCTAACCTACTTCAGGAGACTATAAAATGAAAAGACCAATTAGTGAAAAATATGTAAGCCTTTAATAGATGAAATACTCCAGTTAGAAAATAATGAAAAGCAAACCAAATTTATGTCAAACCTGTCATCATCAGTGGACTGTCAATAAATTTTTCAGGTCTTCCTTTCAGTTGAAGATTTACCAAAAATAAGTGTCTTTTCTTGAAAGTATGAAGCTACATAAAATAGGAGAAGAGAGTTATCTTATTTACTGAACCAACAGACCAAAACATGTAAATTAAGGTTTTACTGCGAAAGCATTTCTGTATTACAACAAGATACATATATTCATCAGAAGAAATCAGGAGAATAGACTAAACAAATATCATATAGATAATTCTCAACTTACAGCCAGTTGCTTAATGACTATTTGAAGTTAAGAGAGACTCAGGAAAAATTACTTATAACCTGTCCTTGAAGTTATGACCTCTATACCAGGGCTTTTCAACCTTTTCATTGATTGTACCACTTTTAGGATATGGCAATATTTGAATACCACCTAGCAAGGTGTCAAAAACATGATGACCAAAAAAAAAATCCTGTTCAAAGTTGCAATTGCACTGAAATGATTTATGACCATTTTTCACACTTATGACCATTGCAGCATGCCCAGGGTCATGTGATTTATATTTGGATGCTTGGCAACTGATTCATATTTATGATGGTCACAGTGTCCTAGGATCATGTGATCCCCTTTTGCAACCTTTTGAAAAGCAAGGTCAATGGCAGAGCTGCTAGGGGCCAAGTGCTAAGGCGGGACTGCCTTCCCTTCCTCCTTCCCTGCCTCTCTCTTTCTCATTCCCATCTCCTTCTGAAGGAAGAATTTGAACCCCCCTATATTTTCTCTATTCCATATATTTATCAAACAGGGAAAAGCCTTGAGACAGCTGCTGAGGGAACTAGCTTAAAAAGGTGCATTCCCCTTTAAGAATTAGCTACTGGCTAGAAAGGAAAGTTAAGGAGCCAGCAGCCAGTACTTAAGGAAGAAAAAAAAATATAGTAAGTACTGGCTGCCGGCTAAGGCAGCCTCCCCAAATGGCTCCATTCATAAGTAAAGGAATGTTACAGGCAAAATCCATTCAGGAGAAAAATACTTCAAAATCCCTCATAGCAAAACTTATAGTTAACAATAGCGGAGCAATAGAATCTAACACGAGACATCAGCCTTCAGCCAAATAGAAATTGCCAAACATTCCTTAAGACCACATTGCACAAATCCCAGAACTTCAAAATCACAAAAGCACATAAGAATCCTTCTACTCTCCCACTTTGTTGTTCAGCTGAAACAGGAGCAGCGGGAGCAGCAGCAGCAGCCAGAGGTTTGTTTCCTCTAGTCTATTTTTTATTTTCTCTTAAAGGTATAGCCTCCCTCCTCCCTCTTTCTCATTACCAACTTTTACCACCCTCCCTCCCTCCGTGCTCATCTCCAGCCCATGCTGTCTTTCTTCATTCCTCGTGGAGGGCAAGCCCTCCCCCATTGCGTTTCTTGCCTGTTTGTTGCTGCCAGCACAGATGTCTGCCACAGAAGTTGTAGATTGGCTCATGGCTGGCCTGCTTGATCTCCTCTCCTCTCTCCCCACCCTCCTCCTTCTTTCCCTTGTAGCTAGAGTTGACTCCACCTCCTCCCAAGGCTGCTTCTTTTTTCTCTCTCTCCCTCTCCCGCCCAAACTGCCTCCTTTTATAGCCTCTCCTGTCTCCGCCCTCTCCTCCTCCTTTCTCTTCCGGGTGAGTTGGAAGTGCCAGTCCTGGGGCCTTTGCCTCACCCTATGCAGCTCCGGAGGACTCTCTCACAGTAAGTCCTGCGCTCTGCTGGTTCGTTCCTTCCCCCACTACACTTGGCTGGGCAGGCCTGCATACCACCTGCCATGTGCTAAGGAACCACAGGTGGTACACGTACCACTGGTTGAAAAGCCCTGCTCTACACTATTCCCATGCTCACATGATTGCATTTCAGGCACTTGGCAACCTGTTTGCACTTACAACTGGTTGCCAAGTGCCCCATAATCATGTGATCATCATTTGCAATCTTCCCTGCCAGCTTCTCCAGAAAGTTAATATGCAATATGCACAGAGAAGATTACAAGCTGTTGCTGCAAAAGAATTTCCCTTCTCCTCAATGCCTGCAGGAGACTCTTACAAAGGGGCTGCAGAAACGAAGATCTTCGGGTATCAAGTTACTCCCTTCTGTTCTCTTTGAGTAGTCAGTTCTACGTGATGGGTAGAGAAGAGATCAAACTCTCAGGAACTCTATTTCTTACTGCCACTGAGCTTTGTCATTTTTCTTTTACTGTTTATCATCTATGTGGAGTCACTGGGAGAATATAATCAATTTGTTAGTAATACCCAGTTATGAGCTGGGCAGGAATTGCAGTGGAGATGTGTCTAGAGGACCCTGTGTCTAGAGGATGCTACGTCACCATTTTCTCTTAGTTCATAGATCACTAAGATACACTCTACATGGGGACTGCCTATGAAGATTATTCAAAACCTTCAGCTTTTAGCAGAAGCCCAGATAGCATACTGAAGTTCACTTGAATGGCATTACTATTATGGGAATTGCTCTAATTGCCAATTAATTTCTGAGTGCAAACTAAGATGCTGGACATCAGTTTGGAAAGCCTACATTGCACTGGGCCTGGACACCTCTGAGACCACTTTCTTTGAGCTGAAGCTGTGTGTGTCTGGTGAGACCATGGAGAGAAGGTTTGATGTATGTTCTACCATCAAAGGAATGAAAGGATCCCACAGCTGAGTTGGAATAAACTACCTATGGACTACCCTCTCTCTATTGTGTTTCTGGAGTGTGGTAAAAACACTCAGGAGTGAAATATTAAAATGCCACCACTTGAATGCTGATACATCAGATTTGCTCTAATTTTTGTTACAAGCTGGTTTTTCTATTAATTTTAATCATTCTTGAATCAGCATATTGTAAGCCTCTTTGGAAATGTATGGTATATAAAATGAAGCAAGTATGTAAATAAGTAGATAAAGTGAAGTTTCTATTAGAAAGAGCAGCTTTGGACTGAATATATGCAGTTCATGGAGCTAGACTGTACTGAAATTTTAGATAGAGTGTGTGACTTGATAAAATGGTATGCATATGGTGTGTGACATGCTACTATTTATAAACAGAAAACTCTAAAAAATATTAAAATAATCATAGTCATAAACTTACCAACACATTAGTACACTGAACAGCAGATGCATTTAGCCACTGAGCCTCAAATATCCTATCATTTTCAGTTTCAAAGTGACACTCCAAAGGCATCTCCTAAATAGTAAAAATGTAAGGAAAAATTGTAGAATAATAATCTTTTACATATTTTCTAACAGAAAAAGAATGATTTTTAGGTAATTTTCTTATACATTAATAAATCAATAAGCCAAATTCTGATCTCAATTACTGAATATCATTTATTATAACAGTAATATTAGTTATTATTATGCACTTTAATTGCAACAAGCTTGTTGAAATAAAATTAACATTTTACATATTTTAAATTAAAATATTTTAAATTTCCTATAGCTCAGAGATGGGCCACTCAAATATAAGAATAGAAGAAATACATCTTTGAATAAATAAGATAATATCCTAGTTAAAAATTCTCATAATTACAAAATATTCCTGCCTATGGCATTAAGAGGTGGTGCCAGTAAAACAGATACACAAACCAGGAATTTATTGTATATCTGTAGTTTTCTAGGAAAGCAACATGTATTTTAATTGTTGAAAGTTCACTATCATGTCTTCAATTTTCAGCTTTAAATCCAGTAGTTAGATATTTTGTAACTTCCTTCTGTTTTTACTGAATCTAACATATATATCACATTTCTTTTCCTACATACTGATAACCAAATTACCTTTTAAAAAGTGTATTAATAACACTGTATTTTTTACTCCTACTTAGCGATCACTGCAAAGAATGGGAGCAGTACATGAGTATTTGAAGACATAATGAGGAATGGGAGAGTATATAGTCTGATTATTGGAAACTTTATTTTGATGTGATCACAATCAAAAATTGCCCCAATGTAGACAATATTTAGGTAGGCAAAAAGGGAAATCTTACTCTTCATTAATTGAAAAAGATAGGATGATAACATTTAATTTTTGGATCTTGGTTCAATTTCTAGGATAGATTTTACTACTTTCTGCTTTTCACAAGCTCCATTTCTCTCTTTCAGTCATGAGGATATCCAAAAACTGATAAGGTGAACTTTTCTTGTGAGAATTGTATGCCTGCAAACTTCACTTAGTAGTATATCAGGAGAAAAGATTCTTCAAGTTTAGAAGTACATTATCCCCCCAAATGAACCTTTTGCAATGTTATGAATCCATGTATAGTATGGATATCATGAATATCACTGAATTACATATAACAATTTTCAAGTAAATTCTTTTTATGGAACATATTCTTTCTTTCCTACTTAGCCCCTTCAGTCACCTGTCCGTCTTCTGTTAAGGTCCTCAAAGTGACTATTCATGTCATTATCGCTAAGGGAAAATACATGTCATATATTAACTTAATTTAATAATCTCAATTATCTGACTTCTTGTGCAAACATAGGATCTACTCGCTCTTTCTTTTTACAAAGCCTATTTATGTTATTACCTTTATAAAAGCAGCATTTCTCAAAGTCATTGTAATGTCCTGAGAAGTCCCTGTGGGTACTGGTGCAATAGAAACAGGCACAATCTGTGGACAATCAGTACTGTTCTGTATTTCAGGAAACAAATGAAAGAACTGAAGGTCAGGGTGGAAAAAATTCAACCTTTTTAACACTGAAATAGCAGAACCGAGCTACAAAAATGGGTGTTGTCATAATTCCATAAAGTTATTCTTGTAGGTTGTTAGCTTAGTATACTCCCACGTTGATATTTTTTATATAATAGAAATAGTTTAATTTACTATAAAATAAATTCCACTATAATCAATTATACAAAATCATTGTCTTTATTATATTAATGTTATCTGAATTTTCAAGTTTAAAAGTCCTCTGATTTGTATGAGAAATAAAATAAATTGTGAACTTAATGGACAGATGTCAAATGAATGTTTGATACGAAATGACACCTTTGCTTGCACAGACTAAGCACATAATAGTGTGAAAGCAAAAGAAACTTCACCAACATTCTCCCTAAGGTGTGAAACTTGATTGGCTTGTGCTATTTCTTTTTTCTTCATTATGTCCCATAGATGAACACTCAGCTTTCTGACTTCAGGCAACTCTGTTATCAATCTGGGATTTTTCACAGTGAAATTAATTTGTTCACAAATTAAATGGAAAACCATATGCTCTCCTCAGCTGTCAATAAGAAATAGCTACTATACCCCACTTTCATCAGAAGAAAAGAATCAAATGATGCTAACAAAGAAACTATGTGTTTTGTATAGAATCAGAAATTTCCTGTAAGAGTCTTCACAGCAGTAAGCAAAGTTTTTTCCCAGTTTCACACTGAAATCCTCCTTGAATTGGAATCCAACTCAGGTGAAGCTGTTTTTAGAGGTCCATCATCATACTCCACAGAAGCAAGACTGACATGCCAATTATAATATTATCAGAATACATTGTGATTGCTTGTATCTAGAGTAGATTACTGCAGAACACTCTACTAGTCTTCCTCTTCAGGAATGCTTCAGACATTTGAACAAGAGAAGAACAGCTTAGATTAGACATTGGAAGGTGTGATATGCTAAGGTGACAAAATACCAGTTTCTGTATCCAATGCACTAGCTACTCATTTGCTGCTATGTCCAATTCAAATGACTGATTTTGTTCTCTAAAATCAGGTTTAGGGTGATCTGACCACAATTTGCAAGGCTTCGTACTATTTTGAAGTATATGTTATTATGCCTATAGCAAAGCCCTAAAACAGAATAAGTCTTTATCTGGTATAGAGATGCTATTCAAATATCCATTAGGAAGAATGCAGGGTTGGGTGCCACTTTATATAGAAACCTTTAAAGGAAACCCCAAAATTATGGAATTTCCTCCTTTGGGAAGTATTTTAGAGAGTGCCTGAATTTTTTTCCCTTTTGGTTGGTTTTCAATGATAAAAAGAGTTAATTTTCAGATTTTATTATTCTGTTCCCAAGGTTCTTTATAATTTTTATACAAGATGATTTTATTCTTACTTGTTACTGTGGCTTTATTCTGTTGGGTAGCTATTTTTTTTAAATAAGTTGATACTGATTTAATTGTTTTTAGTATTTTTAGTATGTCTTGAGAAAGAAATGCAATTTAAAGTTATATATTAAGTAAATACATAAATGAAACAAATATAGAAGAGGAGCTTCTCTTAGAAATATAAATCAATTTGACCAGGAGCTTATTCTTCCCATTACATCTTTTCCTCTATTATGCAGACAATTATATTACCATCAAAAATTTTGGTGAGCCCACCCTGGGGTAGGCTACCTGGCATACATGAGCACCACAAAATACGGGATACCAAATATTTCAGGGATCAAAAATTAAATAAAAATTAAAAACACTGAAATTGCTGACATATTGAGACCTGCTGAGTTTTGAGGTAATGCGGGTATACACATGGACATACATGAACACACAACACTTGCAACCCCCCCTCAAATCACCACTAATTTCAAAACCATTAGATATTTACTTATTATTTTCTATATAATTTCAGTTAGAAAACAATGCTAATCCAAGAAGCATTCCAAAAATATTTTATAACACATTTCAAATTTAACAATAAATAATTCAATAAAATCACTCTTAAAAACTTGATATGAAAAATGAGTAAACAGATAATACAGGGGATCATAAGGAATGGGATAAAAGGCACAAGACCATCTATTTCTTTAAAATCTGGAGCAAACCAATTTATCTTAAACCAATGGCAAAGCTTCAAGGGAGAGGGGATGCTTGTACCAAGAATATCTTCTCTTACGTGGTTGCACAGCAAATTATTGTGGCACCCTCTAGTGGGGTCCTCACTAGTTGTTAGGTGACAGAGAGGAAAAGCACATTCTCTGTCAGATATCCCATTACTAAAACTTAATACGGGCTTTGTATGACCTTAAAGGTATCTTCAGAATAGGTATTATATGCTCTAATTGCCCTTTTCAATGCCATAACACAATACAACATTCTGCAGTAACCCCTCAATTAGAATACACTGCAATAATCTAATACAGATGTTCCAAGTATAAAGATCACATAGCCAAATTAATCCTATCTAGGAACAGCATAGATAATGAACCAGCTATAGCTGAAAAAAGCCACTCCTTTCTCAGATATCACTTGAGTCTCTACGTTCTGATAAATTTTCCACTTGGTGGTGGTGGTGGTGGTGGTGGTGACAGCACAGACTTGAATACTCTTGATTTCTCCCTCTGCTCCATAAGAAGTATATCATTCCTAAGTCAATGGAGTGGTATAAATAGCATTTTTAATTTTATTTATTTTATCAAATGTATATGCCACCCATATACCCAATAAGGGGACACTGTGTTATTTCTCTTATTTCTGTGAAACATCGTCCAAATAAAGATTTAAACTTTCAGGCAGAAAACGAAAGGTAATTCCACTATATAAAAATCCCTCTCGCCATTCTTCCACAAATATATAATTTATATACAGTATAAATAAATGGATCAGACATAGAGTTTACGATAAAGAGGCACTTTATCATTTGGGTCATCTAAAAGAAAAGGGAGAGAGAAACAATCTGACTTTGCTATATTTTTCACCAAAATATTCTATTAAAACAACTACAACCCAATGTGTATGGATTACATTAATTGAGAAAACAGTTTTCAATGATGGACAAGAATCTTCTTACTGCTGTCATTAAATAGTTTGTGATCTATTCAAGAGTGAGATAAATGGAAAACTAAAGCTTAAAGGGGTAAGCAGCGTTCTCCATCTTAAATGCTGCAAACAGAATTGTTTGCAGGAAGAAAATGCCTCTTGTTTGATTCTTCCTGTCTTCTCAATAAAATGGTTGCATACCTGATGTAAAAGCAACCACTTCAGTTGCTAGAAAAAGAAACAGGATAGAACAATTTAGCTATCTATAATCCCCTGCCTTGTGAAAATGTAGTGTGTCTTTCATTTGGGGTGGGGAGGGGGAGTGACACAGGAAAAAAAAATTAATGTTCAAAAAATTTCCTTTTTTTGTAAATGTTCAGTCTGGCTAATTCTATTATCATCATTCTTCCTTTTCCCAGTGACACTATAGATCTTTACTTACAACAGGAAATGCCAAACACTACAGCTGAAAAATAGATAAGACATCAAACCACCCCCCCCAAAAAAAACATTACCCAAAATATCATTGAAAAAAAAAATGAAGCCGTTTTTTAAAACTTCTCTGAATTGCTCAGTTCCCTATTCATTTAAAATGCTATTAGTCTTTCCTGCAAATTAATGGTTGCTCTCCTATATCAAGAAGTAGCAAAATTAAGTATCACTGAAAATGATAGTATTCTACAGCTGTCAGAACAAATAATATAGGGCACTGGCTGCTTAACTTAAAAACACATGCACTTCCAGTTATTATAATACTTTAAAAATCTTCACTTAGGCTAGCAAAGCCATTTGCAGCAATCTAAATTCCACATTTTTATGTACGTGAAGCTTTAGTTACAAGTAAGGGCTTCTCTTCAGTAGGAGAAAACAATTTTGCTGCGCTCATAACAAGGGATGAGGAATAATAATGGAACTGAAGACCAGAATGGTTTTTTTCTCTACCATACAAGCTAAAAAACAGTACTAATTTATTCTCTCTTCTAAACTAACTCTCCCCCTCCAAGGGAAAAAAAAAATCCCTATCTATTTGAATCAAACTTGTTACTATATAAATATATGCTTACACTCTAAGGACAGATTATTATGAATTAGTGCTATACTGAATTTTCATTGGGTCCTATCTCAGTTTTGAAAATTGTAATACAGGTAGTCCTTGACTTACAATAGTTCATTTAGTGACCATTCAAAGTTACAATGGCACTGAAAAAAGTGACTTATGACCGTTTTTCACGATTACGACCACTGCAATATCCCCATAGTCATGTGACCAAAATTCAGACACTTGGCAACTTAGTCATACTTGTGACGGTCGCAGTGTCCCGGGGTCATGTGATCCCCTTTTGAGAACTTCTGGCAAGCAAAGTCAATGGGGAGCCAGACTCACTTAACAATCATGTTACTAATTTAACAACTGCAGTGATTCACTTAATAACGGTGGCACATAAAGTCATAAAATGGGGCAAAATTCACTTAACAAATGTTTCACTTAGCAACAAAAATGTTGGGTTCAATTGCAGTCATAAGTCGAGGATTAGCTGTACTGAGATCTTGCCAAAAGTAAATAAAAAACTCTTTGGGGTCCTTGGTTGTTTTCTTCTAGACATTTCATTACCCAACTAGATAACATCACAAGAGCTTTTTCCACATCAAGCAATGAAAAATAGGCTCTGCCTTTTAGTTTTAAAATGGTACTTGCCACTTTAATATGTGCAATTCCTCAACTTTTTGTAAAGCGCTTGCTAAAGTGAGGATGAATACCATTCCCTATTTCAGGGGTCCCCAACCCCTGGTCCATGGACTGGTACCGGGCCATAGCATACCAGCAACCTGTCCACACAAACAAGCAAAGCCCCATCCGTGGGATGCAGGCAGCACACAAAACCACGCAGTCTCCGGTCTTGGGAAAAATCTTTCTCCACGGAACCAGTCCCTGGTGCCCAAAAGGTTGGGGATCTCTGCCCTTTTTTACATTTAAAGGGTGAATAACAAACGAAGAACCTTTTGTTGTTAAAACAAAGTCTGTAAAGCAGAAATGGTTATTGAAGATCATCACTAACAGGTCCAGTGTTCACTTCCAAAGGGTTAACCTACCAAATCCTAACTCAGCTGCTCCCTTTCTATGCTTCAGTCTTTTGTTTCCAGTCCAATGAAATTAACTGAATGTATGTTTAATCATTCTAGCAACTACATTCTAAATGGATGAACCTGGTATATTCAGCTTCACAGTGGGTATGGCTGCCTGAGTGTACCTGAAATGGAAAATGCCTTTGCACATTTGGTGTTTAATCCTTTAGAAATCTATTACTAATGTTCTGTATTTAAACAGTGCTTATGATCTAAGACTGTGAAGCTGCTTTCCAAAAAGACTCTAATTATTGCAACTAGACAGGTTTTAAAAAAATACACTCGGGACATTGAAATCAGGAGAAACAACATAACCCATACAAAGCAATAAGCTGGATAGGCTTGTGCCATAGACAAACAACTGATCAAAACAAGCTTCATATTTATGGTATGACTCTCCAATACTGCAGAACACCAAGAAACAAAGGATCAATGCCTAATTGGATCTACTACAAATGTATAAATTATATTTAGTTTTCAGACGAATCTGGGATTTCACCATTACTTTTAATTGACACTAATATTTAAAATACACCTTTGATATAATTTGATGTAATTTCTACTTTGATGAGATGTGCATTTCCTAAAAGCACCCTAAAAGTAGCCTTTAATGCTTCTTTTTACAACAAAGTTGCCTATTTATTCTTAATCAGAGTATTAATGGTGTTTATGACATAGCTAGATTAAAGCCTCTGGGAAGACTAATGGTTGATGTTGCCACTGATTTATTATGTGCTATCAAGTTGGTGTTAACAGCCATATATAGTGGATGCTAGGATGTTTTGACTCCAAGTTGTGAAGACAGAATTAGAATGGGAACAAAGAACGTAAAAAAATATGAACACGAGAAAGCTCTTCAGTGAAAGATGAAATGAACAGACTACATACTGACTATTTAGGCATCAGTGAATTGAAATGAACTGAAAGTAGACACTTTCAATCAGAAGTTCATACTATTTATTACTGAGGATGCCAAAAGCAAAAAAAGGAAACATATTACTTTCAAAGTCATGAAGAAGGATATAGCAAAGACATTACCTAAGTACAAATTCAGTCAATAACCAAACAATATCAACTGGATTTGCAGACAGTCCTTTATAATGATTATTCAGGATATGCTCAAACAACTGACATGAAGAAGAGATTGATATCTTTTATTATTAAGATCAATCTTAAATTGATAGAACACACAAGCAAAATATGATGTTTGTGGTTGAAAACTGGAATGCCAAAATAAGGAAGGAAGGAACGAAGTTCAAGTATTTGGCCTAGGAAATTGAAATTAAATGGGGGAAAGCTTCTGCGAAGCAGTGATTTCTTCAACACAGTCTTCAAACAACAAAAAATATCATCAAATAAAATACACAGAAGTCAAAGTTGATTATATTATTGGTACAAGGAGGTGGAAAGATCCAATATAGTGTCAAAGTTGTGCTCAGTGAGTGTCCTACTGTGGAACACATTACAATCTGCTCATGTTTAAGTTCCAAGTCAAGTCAAGCTAAAGTGGAAGAACAAAGCAAACCAGTTTCTCTGATGTGATATTGAGTATACGATGACGATCTCAAAAACACTGGGAATTGTTTTAAAGGCTGGGACTTTCAGGACACCAAGAAAATCAAAGATGTTATTGACGATCAACGGAAAAGACAGTGCCAAACATCAAGAAAGAGAAGAAAGCAAATTGTATGTTAGAAGAGGCAGGGGAAACAGCCAGTGAGAGTAGCCAAAGCCAAGAAAGACAGAGACCTCAGAAAGGAACTTGTGGTACTCTAGAGATGTAGGGGGTCCCAAAGAGACAGAAAACTAGATTTTCTCAAGTTAATGATATATTTGGAGTAAAAAAAGGTAAAGGTCTCCCCTGTCCAGTCATGTCTCATTCTAGGGGGCAGAGCTCATCTCCATTTCCTAGCCAAGGGAGTCAGAGCTGTCTGAAGACGCTTCCTTAATCAGGTAGCCAGCATGACTATGTGCCAAAGTGCACTGAACACGTTTACCTTTCCACAGTTTCTGGGGGGAGAGTAAAAGCAGTGAGACTGTCAAGAACAGTATCTATTTATCTACTTGCATTTGCATGCTTTTGAACTGCTAGGTTGGCAGGAGCTGGGGGAAGAACAGGAACTCACCCCGTCACATGGTACTTGGGTCTAGAACTGTCAACCTTTTGCCTGATAAGTCCAGTGTCTTAATTGCTAGGCCACAGTGCCCTCCCATAATTGGAATATAAACCATATTGCTATACAAGTTAAATAAGTTGTATTATTAGTGGCAATGCATAACTATCAAGAATATAACTTGATAGTTTTGATAGATATTTAACTTGATAACTATTACATGAGGAAGCCAGCAGGGAAGATCACAAGTCACTCTGGAATGTATGGCTTTTTCCTGGGATAAATCTGGCCTCAGCACTTATAGCATACATCCCCACACCTGCACCTGTCACTTGCACACCTTATCTTTCCAGTGGCCTGCTTGCAAGGTGTATAGGACTTGCAACCTCCTGCTGGCTTTCTTATTGCCTATGCTTTACAGTTCTTGACAGTCTCACTGCTTTTACTCTCCCCCCAGAAATTGTATAGGCCACACCCTGACCATATTTAGATATGCCTTTAAAACCTGGCTAGAATAGGAGATGGGCCTCTTGTGGATTAATTGATTTGTGACACAGTAGTTGTTTTTCTCCAGATATTATTTTTGTGTAGATCGTTTTAAATTTTGTATATTTTATGCTGCACATAGTTGTAATGGAACTGGGCAATCTATAAATAGAATAAGATGTAGTGCACTGCAAATCTCAGCGGTTTGAAAGCATGCTATGAAATGCATCCAGATCCAGTCCTCCAAAACTCTCCCTCCCCCCTCGATGATATGCAACATTTTCTGAACATAAGTGTTTCTATAATATTTCTTTAAAAGCCTTTGTTGGCAGCAATTACTTTCCCCCAACCCAAGAGAAACAAATCAAGATTTTTTAAAAAAACTATACTGTTATGTGCCTTACAGTAATCTGTACTGAATTCTCACATTCAGTCACGTTGGATACACAGGAGCTTCTTCTAGGACACCAATAACATTTCCATTTAGCTGAGAGGCAACTGATACACCTGAAATATATAAAAGAAACTACATTTACTAAGTATAGCAGTGTCTTCTTTGAAGCTTTGTTTTCATTATGAATCTGCAAATACTGTCATGGCTTATTGTAAAACTATCTATTGAAAATCTAAAATATTTTAAATTGTCTGTGTGTATGTATGGTGGAGCAGCCATGAGATTATCCTTTGCTACTATGTCTGATAAGCGAACAAATTTTATTACATCTACGAGATCCTTGGTGCTCTCTGGTTGTTTTCTTGAAGACATTTTATTACACAACTAGGTAACACAGAAACAGCAATACCACTTAGACTTATATATCACTCCATAGTGATTTACAGCACTCTAAGAACAGGTTTACAGATTTCAACATATTGCCCCCAACAATCTGGGTCCTCATTTTACTGACCTTGGAAGGATGGAAGGCTGAGTCTACCTTGAGTCGGTCAGGATCAAACCTCTGGCTATGGGCAGAGTTAGCCTGCAATACTGCATCTAAACCACTGTGCCACCATGGCTCATCGGTGCTAGAAGGTCATGGGGCTTGCTCTCTACTTATATTCAAGGAGGCTTGCCCTGTCAGTGTTGGTGGGAATGTTCTTGATGGTTCCTTGATTAGGCTGTTGTTTACTGCTTGATATTAAGCTCTACTTACCTAGATGCTCATCAAGGGGTGTTGTGGTTTTTTAAAGCTTTTTTATTGTCTCTTTTGAGTGGTATGTAGATGTTGCCTATTTCAATGTACCTGTTGATAGCTGATTTGTCTGAATTCCAAACTTCCAAGAATTCTTTAGTGGTTTTGGACACTCACATCTCCCAGCTGAAACTATGGTAAAGTCTATCTTTGTGATAGGCAATTAAAGAGTTTTCATCATGTCTTTTGACTGCTCATTGGTGTTCATGGATGCCTTCAAGGACCCCACAGTTCAACCCTGAGCTACAAATATCCCTTTCTATTGTTATCACATATATATTGTTGTTGTTGGTTGTGGTGGAGGTTTTATTTTAAGCAGGAGGAGAAAATCATAAATTATGTAATCCAAAATAGTACATATTCAATACCAAATTATTGTAGAGAAGGATTTCTGAATTGTGAATTGCACTTTTTCAGATATTTATGAACAACTTAAATGCAGCAAACAAGATCACATTTAAAATATGGCAAGTCTGCAGCTATACTCATCTAATTTTTAATTCTGAAGAATATTATTCCAGTAATTTCAGTATTAGCCCATGCAAGTAAATTATTCTTTTAGAATAGATGTAATCTATTTATTATGCAGCCCTGTTTCTGCTCTGTCGTTATTTTCTATTTTTATAATGTCTTTTTTTCCACATTTTTGCTTACTATTTTGCTTACTACTATTCTTGCAGAATAAACACATTCCCTTTCTCATATCCACTATAAACAGCTAGTTCGGTTTAGGAATGAGAATGTTTTTGGTTAATTCAATAAATTATAGTTAAACTTGGTTTAGCACAATGTATTAACATAATTGGTATCATACATTGGGATTGGCAGGTCATTTTGTGGAAATATTTGCTTGTTCTTAACTCAGAATTTTTAAAATTATACTGAAGAGATTGTCTTTCAATGTAGTTTAGATAGCATTTGCTACTATCTATAACTCCTAACAACCCCCCCAAAATTGCTTTAAAAAGATAGCAAAAAAAATCATGTGAAAATAGCTTCTGTCATACTACTATTAATAACTGACGGAATTAAAATTAAGCCAAGCACAATATCCAACTATATCTACATATAAATTAAACAATCTCAAAAATGTAGTTGTTTGTTCCTTAGGCCAGCTTTCTGAGGGTTAACTCTAAAGCTTTCAGTCAAGAATATTATCATGGGAAAATGGGAAAGAAAAAAATTGCCCCAAAGCATCAGCACATCCAGATGGCCTGAAATGCTCTAAAAACCCAGCCTCTGCAATTCTTGGCAGGTTTATACCATCTTTCCTGCCAATCCTGCCCGGCATCCAAAATACCTTGTAGATAACAAAGTGATTCTAGCTTAGTAAATCTACAACAAGGTTTTCCCACTGTTTGGTGCCGTGACCACTTAAAAAATAAATGTGTTTCTGCTTCTGCCATCTCCCACCTCACAATAAAACTGAAAATTTTACTGGAATTAGCATTGGGGGGAAAAAGATTTTAGTAATAATTTTATCTATTTATCAAATGAAACAGTGATAGCTGTTTTACAAAAGCTTTACAAATTTTATAACTTTACAAAAAAAACCCCTCTTCCTGTTCTAACAAACAGAAACTGACACATTCAAAATCGTACTTTTTTTAAAATTAGAAAGATGAACTTGCTTATTTTTGTATGGTTTCTAGTTTTCATTCCTGAGACAGCCACTCATAATTTTCACTCCACATTTATTTTTCATCAATATTTGTTTGTTCTTTATGGAATTATATCCTGACTCATACAGACTTCAATATATTTGTAGACTTCTCATATTCGTTTTGTTTGTATCTTGCCTTTATTATTTTTACATATAACTCAAGGCAGCAAACATATCTGATACACTTTCCTCCTATTTTCTCCACAATAACAACCCTTTGAGGTGGGCTGAGAGAAAGTGACTGGCCCAAGGTCACTCAGCTGGCTTTCATGGCTAAGGCGGGATTAGAACTCACAGTCTCCTACTTTCTAAACTAATGCCTTAACCACTAGACCAAACTGGATCTCTTAAATCTTTCTACTAATTTTGTACCCTGCTCCAAAATTCAGGGAGGGGAGAAATTTTTGTTGGGAATTTTACATTCAAAGAGCTGTCAACAGAGATGTGTCAGAAGAATTGCTTTTCCTCTTTAGCAGCGAGCATACTAGTAATTGCTTTAACATTTGTTAAAATTACAGGGAAAAACTCTGAGCTACACAAGCATATACACTTCTTCAGACACTTCAAACATTACAAATACAGTTCTACATGCCTTGCTGGCAACCGATGCTGCAGACATATGAATATTTATGACAGAAGACAAATGCAATTATTTGTGTTCCATGTCAATGAACCGTCAATATCCAATAACAGTTTGTCATGATCGATAGTTTTCAGCTGTAATAGTCCACAAAAATGCGGGGGTGGTCCACAGTACTAACTGCATAAAAAACTCCAATCCATGACAATGAATCAAGGCAAGTTAAAATATTTCCTGAGATTTTGGATGCAACAGATTTTTATGGATGCATTGAGTATTTTGTAAAAGTGCTATAACAAACAATATTGTAATTCCCAGGGAGTTACAACTCTACATTTTGAAACCCTCTATCTAAAAAAAATCAAAATGTTAAATCTGTAGTATTTTGGACTATCAATTTTACAATATTTCCTCCTGCTTAAACTGAAACCACCAGCAAAGATACAGGGATTTCCTACCACTGAATTCTGATGCAAACCTAAGCTAAGCAACCTGCATAATTCTCTATAATTTACAGACTATGAGATCACTTACGCTGTCTTTGGATAAATATTCCCAGTTCTCTTGCAATCATAGATGGTGAAATTGGCCCACACAATGTTTTTTCCGTTGACCTGTACTGCAGTTTGAATAATTACATGATCTGAAACAAACAATCCCCAAAAAAGCAAGTCACAAGGGAACTCTTTTCATAGTTTACTTTCAAGACAACATGAATGTCTGAAAAAAGAAAAAATTAAAAACTGTTGTTTACTCAAGAAATGAAGTTCCTCAAGAGTTCAACTTCTCCAAACACTCTCAAGATTATTTTGTTACATTACAAATACAAATTAATATATAAAACAGGAAAAGCTGTCAATATGTATTTTGTGAATGATTATGTATTATGAATGTAAATTATCTCTGCGAAGATTTTTGTTAGTAAAATAACAAAATAGTAAAATGTTTTTTAAAAAATGTTTGTTTTAAATATTGAGAAACTGATATGTGAATGAGAATATACAGAAAAATATATTTACATTTTTAAATTTTGGAATGGAGCTTGTAACTAAAATGCATTAAAAATATCCCTTTTTGCTGGGATAAAATCAAGATTCAAAACATTTTGAAAATGAATGAAATGGAGTTGATATAATCATTCATCCTTTATTTTGAAGCAATTTTTCATGCACCATTATTTAACCATAAATTCAGTAGTTTGAAGAGTCAGGATTTTGATATAAAGTATTTGTTTTGGCAAGACTCCTGAACTATATCCAGGATAAACGGATCCAAACTTTATAAATAGATTTATTCAGTATTTTATGACCATGACAAATTACTTTCACTAAACAAAGTGAAGCAAATAATCAAATGGTGATTTGAAACTGGTAATTTAACTTTCAGACTGAAAAACTGTATATGCCGGTAACATTAATGAATGAGACAGCCATATGACAAGTGCTCAATACTGCAGGTAAGTTTTTTTTTTACATGACTCAACATGTGCCACCTAATTTATTTATTTTTTTGCTACACACCGAATTGAGACATTCTGTACTGAATCAGGAAACTGGCCTTGGCGAAAGTATATGGGGACAGTTAGCAAAACCTGATTTAAGAAAGAGACCATTAGAAAGAAACTTAAACTAGCTACAGTATGTCTTAACTCTCTTTGGTACAGATGGTCCTCAACTTACAATCATTGATTTAGGACTGTTCGAAGTTATAATAGCATTGAAAAAAATAGACTTATGACTGTTTTTCACACCGTTGCAGCATCCCCATGGTCACACAATCATAATTTATGACAGTTGCAGTATCCTGGGGAGATATGAGCACCTTTTGCAACCTTCTGACAAGCTAAGTCAATGGGGAAGCCAGATTCACTTAACAACCATGTTACTAACTTAACAACTGCAGTGATTCACTCAAGAACTGAGGCAAAAAAAGGTGGTAAAATGGGGCAAAACTCTCTTAACAACTGTCTTGCTCAGCAACAGAAATTTTGGGCTCAATTGTAGTCATAAGTTGAGGACTACCTGGATAAGAGGGAGGAAAAAAAATACTGTCAGAGTTTCAAGATTCTCTTACTATTTCTTGCATCAGTTAAAAAGAGTTCCATTAATTTTGTGGAGTTTGTTTCCTGATTTGGTCTAGTTTGAAGGGATGACATCATGCCAAATATCCTGCAGATGTATGTCATGTCTTATGTAAACTGATACTTACGTTATACTCCGTGTTTGAGGCATTTTGTACTTGATGCTATCACATCTGGAAAGCACCTGGGCTGGGGAAGACTTGTGTAATTTCTGATCAGGAGGAAAATTGAATGTAGACTGATAACTGGCCATAATAATAACCTGTTCAGAAGAGACTATTATCTCTTTTAAAACTGATGGCACCATTCCCTCACTCAAAGAAGCTTGAACTTTTTTTTTTTTTGAATTCACTCAAAGCAAGAGACCATGATTTCAAATCCTTCCTTAGCCATGAAAGACAACTGGGTGACTTTGGGCCAGTCACTCTCTCTCAGCCCACACAGGATTACTGTTGTGCTGAAAATAGGAGGAGGAATATTGTTGGATATGTTTGTTGCCTTGGGTTCTTTGTAACAATAATAAAGGTGGGATACAAATAAATAAAATAAGAATAAGAATAAATTCACCACTACCTATATCCATTCTCTCATTCCATTTCCAACAGCTTCTCAGCCCCACCAGGTAGACCAGACCAGGAATCAACTCCACAGAATGCTTAAACTACTTTTGTTGAATGTGACTATAAAAACAGAATTTTACAAGTCCACTTGTGATATACCCCCTCCCTCCATGGTTATGTGAATTATTGGAATGACTGTGTGAGACGAGTGTGGCGCTATCAGCTCAATAACAAAAGCAAAACTATAAGTTTTCTTGTAGTTCCTACCCATTTATAATTGTATTATTAACAATTTTAATGAGATTTTCTCTTAAATTCAATTTATGCCATTTTGGATGACACAAATGTAAAGGCAAAGGAATAAAAAATCTTTGTGCATACATGTGTTTTAATTATTAAAAGGAACAAATTAAAGTTTTTTTTAAATTTGTCTTTGCTTCTAGTTCACAGTACTTCTTGTGCATTTATAAGGATTTTTAATTAATATTGATACTTAGGGTATTTTTTTCCCTACAGAATTTCTTAGGGCAGAACTCAGGATTGGCCTAAAAATCTAACAGGCTACTTCATAATCGTATTCTCTTGAAGCATTCTTGCAGAGTATATATAGAAACCAGCAAATGCATTTCAACAAACCAAGTTTTCAGAAATCCATCACTGATCTAATGAAACACGTCCCAGCTGTTGGAACATTACCTGAATAAATGCAAATACTAAATACATATTAAAATTAAGGAAGTTTAATTTAATTTAAAAAATTAAGAAAGCCATCTTTAATGTCATTATCACATCATCATCATCACTATTTAAAGCATCATTTTTCATACATACCTTGATTTAATGGAAAGGCTGGATAGCTCTCTCTGGGAAGAAAACTGCAGTAAATTACTTGGTTGTGAGATTGGGGATGAATTCTAGCAGTAGTTTGGATATTATTTCCATAATTGCAAGCTATTTCCATTCCGTTCATATTGGGAATGTTCCCATTTATTTGGATTATCATACCCTAAAAGTGAACAACAAAATGTTATCATTCTAATAATTAACAAAAAATTAAATGACATGGATAAACAGGTTTTGAAAATACTATATTTTTAAATTAAATGTTTGGAGCAAAGCTGCTGCTGCTTTGAGTAAAAAAAACAAGTGCAGCTGAACATTCAGAGATTGGGTTAGTAAAATTACAAGATGCCTTCTATGTGTCAACACTTGCCCAGTGGAACAATATCCTCTGCAGAGATCTAGATGGCTCTGACCCTGACAACCTTTCACAAGGCTGTTTCACTATGCTGCTGATGTGACTTTTTATGATTGGGATTTATTGTTTACCTTGGGTGACATGGATCATTGTTTATAGCTGTTGTTGTAATCCTTGTACACTGCCGAGAGTTATTGTTACAGTATGAGGTGGGGGGCATGTAAATTATTTAAATATTGTTCATAATGCTTTACAATCAGTTCCCCTTGCTTAAGAGAATCTGTTCACAGATATTGTAATTCCTACTTGATGTACCTCATTTTCGTTCTCGATATTTATTTCTGAAGGCATTGTTGTCATTGAAGGGCATTGTTGTACTCCCGCATTGGCACTGATCCAGAAATAGGACTCTTCCGAATGGGCACATTCATGCTGCAGTGAACACCTAAAATAAGTAGAACATTTATGACATCAGACCTTTAGAAGAAAACCAATTATTAATTTTCTTGAAAAGCTGTCTTCATGTTTGTCATTTCACTAAGTATGATAGCCATTATCTTAAAATGTTAACCTCATAATCAAAACACAAGAGATATGATTAGGAATGATTCGTATATTTTTCCACTGTTTGCCTTCTGTTTATCTTGATTTTATTTTTATTTTTTTGACATCTAAGGTTGTCAGGCATGAAGACCCACACATGCAGAGTTCAAGCTAACTACCTTATTTTTTTTTCTGCCTATAATACAAGAATCATCCCAGACTGGCAGCCTTCCCTTGGGAACAAATAGAAAAAGCCCCAAGGAACTTAGAGGGGTCAGTCTTTTGTGGTTGTGCAGTGATTCCAGGCTAACTCCACCCTTGAGTTCTCCTCCCTGCCTGGCTGGGTGCTTCCCAAAAAAGATGGAGAAAAAAATGGCTGTTAAGTCCATGGAAATAAGATGGTCAGCTTTTGAACTTTGCTGACTTAATAGAATGTCAGGTAGTTATTCAATGTTTTCCCTCAATTTCATATGGCTTATTTCTGTTTACCCTAGACACTCTTAAAATATTCTTCAAAAACATAAATTGATTGTTGTGGCTTTGTCCTGTTTCCTACAAAGACTTTTGACTAGTCCAAAATATGCATACTGCCCATGACTTCTTATGCTAAGAGTACTTTTAAAACAATATTTTGACTTATCATATCACATTTGAAGTAAAAAAAGCAAATGACACATGACAGATAATTTTGTATTAAATTATAATTATAAACCCATGATTACATGGGTTTTTATTATTTTCGAAATGTGCCTTAGACTATCTCATGCATAGTATAATACACAGGTCTACTTGTTTTCTTCTCCCACAAAATAATTAAGCTTATGTGTGAATTCTCATAAAAAAGTGAAAATTGTTCAAATGATATTTATCCAACAATATCTTGATTGTATTTATATTTACATAACCTGTGAAGTTGCATCAGCTATTTATTATTGTAGAAGTCAATGAATCTGGTGAAAGTTTACAATAATATTAAGTAATTATCTGTTCAGAATGGCTTATTGTAAGAGGGTTATAAAATACAAAAATATTCCACCTGGTCTCCAAGGTACACCATCCACAGTAAGCATCAGCTGCAGCCAAGCAGTCTGCACATTTAGTGTATTGGTCACAAGCAGCTACTTTCACACGAGCAATCTGTGTAACAGAGAAAATCAAGGTAACAAATTTAAATAAATCAAACTATTTTAAAACAAACTATTATTAGCAGACTCTTGTTTAATTAACTACAGCAACAAAGCATCTTATAGTTATCCAGGCTGATCAAAAGATTAGAAACAATTATCATCAGAATATGGATGGTGCCCAGCAGTGTTCTAATATTTGAGGGGCTGTCAAAGAGAAGAGGGGGAACAACCTATTTTCCAAAGCACCTGAAGGACAGAGAAGGAACAATGGATAGAAACTAATCAAGGAGAGACTTAACCTAGAAATAAGGAGAAAATTTCTGACAGTGAGAACAATCAATCAATGGAACAGCTTGCCTTCAGAACTTGTGAGTGTTTCATTACTGGAGACTTTCAAGAAGAGACTAGACAGCCACTTGTCAGAAATGGTATAGAGATCTATTCTATTCTATTCTATTCTATTCTATTCTATTCTATTCTATTCTATTCTATTCTATTCTATTCCTTTTCATGCAACATAGATGAGATAGTAGTTGATCTCAATTAAATGTTAGATTTAGAAAATTGAAATGTTGGCTAGTAGGAGGCTCATCTGTCAGACTTAGTGATCATTAAATTATTATAGAGTTGCTCCCCTCCAGAAAGAGCAGCTTCATAGCTTGAGAGAGCTTGTAACAGAACTCTGTCATTTTTTGCTTTATATAATATTCTTTGTATTATATACAGTAGACAAACATATAAATGAGCCTCAGCAGAGATAATTTAGCTACAATCATCCATCCATGGATAATGCGTTGAATGATTTATTTATTTATTTAGTTTTGATAAACAGTTATATAGAGAATGTGTTTAGGACTAGTCCACTTTCCCTTCCTATGTAGTTTTTTGCCTAGTTTTGAAATCATGTACATTATTTTTTTATATTCATATCTAGCTTATTTAAGGAGGAAACAGAGATTTGCTGCTATACAGTTCATGCTGCCTAAAAAAATATGGGGGGGGGGGGTTTAGCAAAGAATTGTAATACAAATTCATTGATGGAAGCATTTGCATACATGTCTAAGATGGAAAGAACCGTAACAATTTAACATGATTTTTATTTTTGTTATTTTAATTATTTTATTATCCATATTTTCAGTATTATTATATGTTATGAATATTCCAGGTAGGAAAAAAGGAAAAATATATATTTTAACAGAATGCTAACATCTGTCTCCTGTTTAAATAAATAAATAAACAAATAAGCAAACAAAAGAACATGATAAATAACTTCTACACTTCTTTTTTAATAAGTTCTTTAAAATTGCTGCATTTTGCTTTTTTCTTTCCATGACAGTTTGTTTTTTTAAATCTAAGTTTTTTTAAAAAAAAATAATTGTCCTAGAAATTGTTTTTCATACACACACACACACACATACAGAGAGAGAGAGAAACACGCATGAATACACACTTTAATAATATAGCTTCATTACTCAGGTGGAACTATGTTCTGCTACGTGAATCACAGTAAGTAGTAAGAAAGGAAGATTTGATTAATAAAAAGTATATAAACAACTATAATTGCCTAAAAATGCAAAACACTATAACATGTTTAAGAAGAGAAAATGATTAATATAATAATAATAATAGTAGTAAAGTTGGAAGGGACCTTGGAGGTCATCTAGTCCAACCCCCTGCTCGGGCAGGAAACCCTACACCATTTCGGACAAATGGCTGTCCAGTCTCTTCTTAAAAACTTCCAGTGTTGGAGCATTTACTGCTTCTGGAGGCAAGCTGTTCCACATTTGCTTCAAGGTGTTTGTGAAAAGCTAGTGCGTTCTTTTATGGGTAATATATTTGGCCCATATTTCTTCCAATACCTGATAATAGCATTTTTAGTTTTACGAAAATCCACTGCAGATATAAGTGAACGTGGGAGATGGAAACTGGCTCGAAAACATCCATGGATGTTTCTTGCTAAGCATAAATTTGGATTTTTACCGACTTCAAACATTTTTACTCTCTTAAGATGCCTTTATTTTATAAATGTTAGTTCTGAGAAGAATTTAATAGAATACTGCTATATAGTCTGCCATTTGGATCAATCACTTAAGGTATTTGTCTAAACCACATTCAAATGTAAGATAAGCCTTTTGTATTTGCAGTAACACTGACCCCATTCAGAATTTTACTGCTCCCTGATGGCCTTAGTTCCACATACATTTATATGAAGGCACTCAGAAGCTATTTCTGCCAATAAACAAAACCAGATTGACAAATCATTCTGACACAGGTTGGCAATATCTCTGGGCAGTTGAAATTTTTCACCCAGGGAATGAGATTTTCTCTCACAAATAGATGATGTTTGATATTTACAAAGGACTTGGCGTGTTTTAACAGCTGGTTTTCCCTATACTTTATTTATTAAATTTCCATTTTTTTTTCATTTTAAAGATGTCATTCATAACAACAAAAGGCATTCTGTGTGGGTGCAGACACAAATGTTGCATAGCTTCTACCAAATTATTACATCTCGTAATTTAAAATTTTAATCTTGCCTTTTGTAGTTTACATAGAACATATTGTGATTATATTGCAAGCAGAATATCCATTCCTCTTCCCTTGACAGTTTGCACATTAAGTATTATTGCTAATAATAGATTAATATGGCGTACACTATATCTCAGCAGATGGCAACACCTGCTCAAGCTTTTATAGGTTTGGAAACTAAGCAAGGCTGGATTTGATTAATACTTGGATCAGAAACCAAATTCAGGGCTATTGCTTAGTTGGAACACCCCCCCCCCCTCAGAAAAAGGTATTGGAAGGGAAAACAATTACATATTACTCCCAAGAAAACTAAATAGTGTGTCCATGTAATCACCAAGAGTTGAGCATCTTTTTTGTTTTTTAAGTATAGGTAGTCCTCACTTAATGATTGCCTATTAGCGACTGTTTAAAGTTATGATGACACTGAAAAAAACAACTTTATAAGCAGTATAGCACTTATAACGGTTGCTGGCAGTGTAGCAGTTATAACTGTTGCCAGATCCCAATGATCACATGATCAAGACTGATTGTGTGATTGCCATTTGCATGTTTTACAGCCAATTTCTGATAAGCAAATCAGCAATTAATGATCATGATGGAAGTAAAGTTGTAAATCCGTTGGGATCACGTAACAAAAACATCACTTAACAATGGATATTGTGGTCCTAATTACAGTTGTTGAACAAGGACTACCAGTAAACTATTTTGATCAAAAATGGTTAGGGGATAAATGATTTAGGAACAAGATATGATTTTTGTATATTGGAAATATTGATTAATTAAGGAATTACAGCTCAGAGGTTAAATAGCAAATAACACTGAAGCTTGCAAGGAATACCAAATTCATTTTCTTTTCAGTTAGGCAGTAAAGACAGCAATTGATTAATTGTGACACTGAACAATAAAGAATTTGCTTCCTGGATACTTTTGGGTGTATCCTACAGATTTTTGGCAGCTAATCACAAGAATAATCTGTAATTTAACCTATCACAAGATTTTGTAGAAATTTTCTGTTTTTAAACAATGGCAATTATGTAAAACCTGTTAGTACCGATTTCCTATGCTACGTACATGAAAGAAACATACAAAAACATGGGACTGTTGCTGAAGCACATCCAGTACACCAAGGACAACTGGGATATTTGTGGAGATCTAAAAGTACTGACACTGCTGCTCAGATATACCAAGTACTTTTGTTACATATGCAATTAGGACAGTTGTGCAAGAGAGTTGCATTACATTAAAAAGAAACACCATTCCAAAATAATTTGGTTCTAAGGACAGAAAAACATGGCACGTGAACCACTTGTTGACCTGACAAAGATATTTTTGCCTCTGTTTCATATAAAACACAGATTGATGAAACATTTTGTGAAAGTGCTGAACAAGGAAAGTGCAATTTTTTGTTATTTGAGACAGATGTTTCCAATAATAGCTCATGCCAAAATTAAGGAAGGCATTTTTGTTGGTCCACAGATCAGATATATCATTAATGTCAAGCAGTTCGAAGATCTGTTAATGAGGCCTGAGAAAATTGCCTAGAAAGCATTCAAAGATGTTATTGAGAATTTTCTTGGCAACTATAGATATCCAACTTAAATATAACTTAAACCAACTTAAACTTAGTTATAGGGGAACAAGCATAAAACAAGTATCAAAGTTCAAATATCTAGGAACAACATTCACCAAAGATGGTAAAATGGACGAAGAGATGAACATATGATTGATGCACTAAGGCCAGCCAAGTATTGGGATAGCTAGCTCCACTCCTACAACATAAGGCAGTACCTATCAGCATAAAGAAGCGTCTCAAACACAACGTATTCTTTCCCACCTTATGATACCAGTGCCAAACATAGGCACTTACAATAAAACTTAAACAAAAGTTAGTCACCACGGAAATGAGATATTTGAGGAAAGCTGCTGGAGTGACCAGGAGAGATAAAATCAGAAATGAGATCATAAAAGAAAGAATTGGCATAGAACCAATCTTAAAACTACTTACAAAAAGCAGCAAATCCTGGAGACAATGTCTTAAGATTCCATACCGTACAAGGCATATACAAAAAGAGGAGAAGGTCAAAGAATACGAGGAAGACCCAGAAGAAGATGGAGAGACAATATCAAAGACACACTACAACAGCATCAAATAACAACGTTGGAAGCTGCCAGAAGAACAAGAACCAGAACATAGTATCTCCCTCAACACCCAAAGTGGTAAAAGAGGAAGACAGAGCAAAAAACTCCATTCATCTGGTTGACAAACATCTGAGAGAGCATACAAGACCATGAAGTGCAACATGTCAATGAAGACTTATTTACTGTATTTACACTTGGACTTCTTTTCCCAAAAAATCTAAGCGTAGTCAGTGACGAAAATGATGAAGGTTTTCACCAGGACATTGCCACAATAGAAAAACAGTGTCAGGGCAACTGTCCATCAGTGCTGGCTAAGTATTGTTGGACAATGCAGTAAGATGAATCCGTCACTGAGTACAAACAAAAATCAACAGCAAAACACTTTTAGCCCTGTTGAACTCATGCAGCACATTATAATAACTAAGAGTTAATTTCTATTTCTCAAGGTTCCTACATGATAAATCATTCTGAAATTATATTTGTATTTAGTTTGAAGGGGTCTATCATAACCTTACTTCAGGAAGGAAAACCTTTTGAAAAAAATTTGTTGACCAATGTAATGTACCATCAAATTTGTAGTGATTTTTAGTGACCACATAGATTTTCTCTGAGTGAATCTGTCTGCCCTACAAGTCTCCCAATAGTGCACCTATCACCAACGTAATTAAACACAAACAGTAGGAAAGCATAATTATACAAGAGAAACATATCAGCCAACTTTCAGCCTTTCCCCTTATAAGATCTGGTTTCTGCTGTGTTTTCAATACATTTTTTTTCTCATAGTGAATAATCAATCTTAACTGTATTGATATAAATGTTTTATTTTCCATCTTGTTCCATCTAATACATCATCAAGGGCAGATTAAAAGTGTATTAAATTTGCTTCTCAGAAACATTCAATAGTTTGATTCACGCATACTCCTAAATAATGATTTCTTTCTTTTTAGACTTAATAATCCATAATCCTCCAATTATGGCTTGTTTGAGAAAAATCCTGTCTCATCATGCCAATAAGATATGAAAAGCTATGCTGGTAAACTTACAAAATACATCCAGTAATTATCCATGATCTATCCAAGCAAGAAAAATGTGGCATCCCACAGCCCTTACCATCCCTACAAAGTATGATCAGTGACGAGGAATGATGGAGCAATAATTTCGTAACAAAGACAATGCATGACAATGCAAAAATGTAAATTTCAAGACAAGCCAATAAAATCAACAATTATTTTGAAAATATTTATAATATGTTGTAAGAAGTACTGCTTACTATATCATCTGTGCAGCAGTGAAAAGTATAACGCAGAAAGAGTTTGGAAAAACTCCCTAGTTGATTAAATTCACACTTATGAATGTTTTAATCAGCACAGATCTCATGATAATAGAAAGGTGGGTTTGGGAAATAATCTTACCTGATGAGAAGTCATTAAATACAGGTAACTGGAATCAGATGGATCAAACTGCATAATAGGATGGATAGGTTCACTGTAAGCCACCATAATTGACTCCCTGCTTATAACCTCCATGGAACTGTTCAGATTAATCTGTAAAAAAAGGGAACATTTTATACAACCTCCAATGTCATAAATTTTGAGGAAAAAGAAGAAAAAGAAAATGAACCTATCAGAAATGTTAAGAAAACAGTAGCTTTTTGCAAGAACTATGGAATCTTGAAAAGTATTAAGTGAAAAATTCCTTTCATCTTTAACTTAATAACACAAGAGCATGAAGTAAGAAAATGATAGCAATTGTAAATTAAACCATCCATTAGAAGCATATAAAATTCTTGAATTGCTATCAGGATTGAAATATGTGCTAGGTTATTCTAAACTGAAAGTATTTTTAATATGCAATTAAAGAGCATTGCTAAGTCGTATATCAATTATTTTCAAGAACCCTGGATTAAAGAGTTGAAATAACCCATGTTAGTAAATCAATGGTTAAACATCTCGAAGAATATTGTTTTCTGATGAGTTTAAGATTGTGTTAATTTTGTTCATGCTTACTGGACACTTCAGAATGTTTAATAACAGTTACATATTATGCTCCTGTAAAATGATCAAGGGAACAACTATCCATATGATACTGCCTTGACTCAATATTATTCTTTTTGATTTAATGTCTATTAGCTTGTTAAAGTGGTTTTAAGAAGATAATACAATTTTAAAATGTAAATTTAATTGTAAATTATATAACAACTATCTGAACCTTACGAATATATGTAGAACTATGGATTTATTGAGCGTGAAACATAAGGAAAGACACTAATGTAATTGTGATCTGATGACATATGTTCCTTCTCTGATTATTCAGTGGGTCTTTCTGGACATCATGGAAAGACCGATCAATATTATTTGGTATGATAAAGCCTGAATATCTTAATAAAATACACATACATAAACATATTCTTTCTTATTTCCTTTCTTCTTCCTTTTTAAATTTTCTTTTATCTTCTACAGTATATTAAAGCAATTTTTTTCAAAAAAAAAAAAAGCCAAAAAATTCCAATGGTGTTTTTAGACTAGAATTAGTCAGTCATGCATTATTTAAGCTAATCAAAGTTTAACAAAACTATATTTCAGAAATACTCCTTGGCAAAATGGTTTGTCTTATGGTTTTAATTGGCAATATATTTTATGTAACATTGAAAGTGTTGCTCTTCTACATTTACTTTTGTTCTGTTAATGACTCTCTTGAATGTGTCACTGATAATGTCCCTTATGATATGCCTTCGTCTGGTGTACTTTATCATTTGCTGGACCATATTAATTGCCTATGTGATAGGAAATTATAATTACTGCTTAGGAACTGGCTGAAACATCGCCTATCCTCCTTTTACTGTCTTGTCTTGGATGGGAAATCTGAATTATCACTCAAATATTCCGTATTCCGTGCCAAATAAGAAGGAGCCCCCAAGGTAAAAAGGCTTCTGGTTGTGCAGCTGTGGAATACAATTAGATTATAGCCATCTCAACAAATTATCCTAGGAATAAAGGAGCTAGGAATCTTTTTCTAATGGAGGTTCAGCAGATAAGATTGCTATTTCTGATATGACAATGGAAACAGAGCTGTTATTACTATGTGAATATAAGCTGGGTGAGAAATGTAGTTCACATTCATTGCCTGTACAGCTGACTCTGAAGCCAGTTACCTAGCACTTCAGTTGTATAAACTGGGCAAATATCAAACCAGAGAGAGAACTTCAGCTATCTTTTCCACCTGCTAGAAATATTTTCAAAGCAGGAAAGAAATTGGATTCCCTTCTTTTCTCTTCCTACTCTGATCTAATATTCTACATTACGTGTTATTATCTTCAGATTGATAGAAACCAGTTTCTAGTTATGTTTTTCCATGAGACATGGGTGTCTGACACAGAGCTCTTTCTTCAGCAACAATATACAGTGAAGTATGGCAGTTGCTGGCCGTTGCTGGGGTAGAGACCTTAAATTTTGGTCTCCAATGTATTGTTTCAACATGGATAAAACAGGCATATTACACATTCTTCAATTCCGCAATTACTATAACCAATGAGGACTGACCACTGCAAGTGTGAGAGAGTCTGTGTTTTTCACAAGTGCCAATCAAGAGAGGAAAAATGTATAAATAGGCATTGTTAATAACTAAAAGCTGTGCAATAACATCTTAAGTACAAGCATTTATTCCTACAATATATTAAATAACATCTTGATTACACTCTAATCTCAACTGCTGATTAAAAGTTAAGAATTAGAAGATATTGTATATCCATATGCAACTTAAAGGAACAACTAATTCCATCTTTATTGAAGAATGAAAGCCTGTGTGATGATCAGTTTGATGAGTGATTAATTTTTTCTGTTCTAAGTTAAGAGAATCTTGGATTAATATGCCAGGCCAGTCTTACACTTCCTAAACATGAATTCTTTAATTTTATCAACAGGATTGTAATCAAATAAGCTGCATCAGCGTAACTTTGCCCATCAGTTGCAGGAACTAGCTACTTCTAGTTTAATGAATAGAAGGACTCGGGGTGACATACTAGCAGTCTTTCAATATCTAAGGGGCTGTCACAGAGAAGAGGAGTTGACCTATTCTTCAAAGCACAAGAAGTAATGGATGGAAGCTTATCAAGGAGAGATCCAATTTAGAACAAAGGAGAAATTGCCTAAAAATGAGTACAATTAATTGCTTCCAAGTTGTGGGTGCTCCATCGCTGGAGATTTTTAACAAGAGATTGAAGAGCCATTGGTCCAGAATGGTCTCCTCCCTGAGCAGAGGGTTGGATCAGAAGACCTCCAAGGTCCCTTCCATCTCTGATATCCTGTACCTCATAAACATACTTGAACATTGGAGATCAAAATTATTATTTGGTTCGCTCAAACTATTACCTACAATAACACTTTATCAGATCCCTTATTATATCCCAGGGATGTATGAAGGACCACATTTCCTATTAAGGAAAGACAGATAAATACAACCAACTGAATTATCTAGAGTAGTGGCCCGCAAACTTTTCTGGGCACCAGGGACCAGTTCCGTGGAGAGAGGTATTTCTGTGGACCGGAGAGGGCGTGGTTTCACGTGCTACTTGCATCCTACGGATGGGGCTTTGCTTGTTTGTGCAGCCTGGTTTCTGGCATGCCGTAGCCCAGTGCTGATTCACAGCCCAGGGATTGTGGACCCCTGATCTAGAGGATAGGAAAATGTAGTGTAACACAACTACATGGGCAACATTTTCTTTTCCACTAACTATCGTGTGGGTATGATTATGAAATGCAAGCTGCAGGCTCACCACTAGTCTTGACTACCTGAGACACAATGTCAAGCTAAGAAATTTTCTAGAGTTAAAAAAAGAATCAAGGCTTTGTATGCAGAATCTTCATTTGCCAAGTTCAGAAATGCCTTAGCCAGTCTATTTTCTTGTTTGGACAGACACTGTTACACCTAATGTGGGAACTAAAATTTTTACAAGGTTCATTTCCTTTTGCTATTAAAAGAAATTCTAATTTTTAAAATTTATTTAGAATCAAAGACAAAAATAAGCTTTTAGATGAGCAAAATATGCTCAAAATCGTGGTTTCATAAGTATACAAAGGATGTTCAAAACATTTATCAATGCTACATAAGGCTTGCAGTTTCTTCCACAAAAATATTAAGAACATGCAAATTTCACTGAACAGAATTCATAAAATCCTTGAGAGATAGGAGATAAGAAAGAATAATTAGCATGGAAAATAAATGCCTCATTAGAAACCTGATTAATGAAGAAAGTTAGCTATTTTGACCATAAATAAAATAATAATTAGCTGAATAAATCACAGATGGCTTGGTTTATCCATACTATGGTATGGTTTACAAACTACAATGGCTTAGCATGAGCTAAACCCATCAACATGGCATTTAGGAACAGGAGGTTCACAATCAAAAGAAACTCCATTGTTAATTGCAAAAACATCCATAGCCTTTTGGTGTCCAGGTCATTTTACCTTAAGCAGTCTTCCATTTGCTGTTCCTAAAAATACAACTGTGTAATTATTGATACTGGAGACGGCCACTGATGTAAGGCCTGGTGAAGTAAACACTGGTTTAGCCTTGATTGGATGCAAAATTGACAATGGATGTTGGAGATGTGCTGCACCACAGTCCAGTTGTTCTGGTTGCAACTGAAAAGAAAAGGATATATGAGTGGATATAATTTTATTTATTTATATTATTCATTGTGCCTTATGTGCTGCTCAATTCCTGAAGACTCTAAATAGCTTACATCAAGACTATCAGGACTAATGAAATAGAACTCCATTAAATATGCCACATAATGATAAGTGTAGTCCTCAGCATTCCCAAATACTCTCCTAAAAAGCTAAGTCTTCGTGGCTTAGACTTATGTAGGACAAATTGTCATAGTCCAGACTTCAGATGACAAGGGTGTAAGTGACCATGTACAACGCTTCCTGATCCAAAAATGGTTGCAAACTGGCACATAAGATGTAATTAAACAAAAATTCTCCTAGCTATAGTAGGCATTAGCTATTGTTCCAGCAGATGCTGTGAGTCCAGGAGGATCTGCACGTTGTGAGCTCAGAATGCTATTTTCATTTAATTAGATCTGAAGGAGAAACCCTGAAGATCTCATCTCCAAAAGAATCCTTTTGCAAGTATCCCACATGACAGAGCCTTCTCACCAATGCTGCTATTTTTATGGAACAGCTTGCCCTCATGTACAATGACTACTTTCCCTATAATGAATTTCTGTAAAAAAGTAAAAACAGGGCCCTGGAAGAGAGCATTCAGGATTGTTAGGTGTTGCATCTAGCCATGTTAATTAAAGCTATTAAAATGCATATTTTCTGAGTACTATTATTTTTAATCTTGTGGTTTGGTTTGGTTTTATGTATGCCACTCAGCTATGCTATTTATTTTTATCCCACCTTTATTATTTTTATAAATAACTCAATGTAGTAGTCATACCTAATACTTCTTCATCTCACAACTCACAACAATCCTGTGAGGTGAGTTGGACTGAGGAGTGCTCTGTCCAAAGTCACCCAGCCTAACGCAGGACTAGAACTCACAGTCTCCCAGTTTTAGCTTGGTGTCTTAATCACAGGATCAAACTAGGTCTGGATTGGAATGGCATAGAAATGTTACTATAAAATAAAATATAGCTTTAACATAAATCTCATGAGCTCTATATTATAAACAGCAAAGATTCATAGCCCTTTCCTAACTGTAAAGACAATTAGGAGTAAGGTAGACTCTTGTTTTATGATACATAGCGATCTAAAAGAGCAATACATATATTTTTTATGTTCACTTGTTCTATTTAATGTAGACATTTTAAGGACGTTCAAGAAGGATATGGATATGGCAGAGAAACTAATTATTTACATCTGCAATTCCTATAGAAGATACAGGACAGATGCTTAAGCCTGTACTGACTATCTCAGGGAGGGAACTGAAATTACTACAACAAATTGAGGTAACAAGATATATGCCAGGACCAGAGAGACTACACAGTAACAAAGTTTACAGATGATACCAACCTATTCAACTCAATAAAATGTATAATAAACATATGTGTCTCAAAAGCATATCTTTGCACTGGTTAAATGATCAAATGACAAATGCAGCTCAGTTGAAATAAGAATAAAGCTATGAACATCTGTGGCAAGTAATGTTAATTTCACACATACACTGATGGAGTCTGAAATGTCAGTGATTAAGGGAAAAAGGGATCACATTAGATAGCTCAATGAAGATGTTGACTCAGTGGGTAGCAATTGTGGAAAGGGCAAATTCCATGCTAGACATAACTAGGAAATGGGTGGAAAATAAAACTTAAAGCTACTTTAATCCACATGGATACAGACAAACAGTTACAATGTACATTTTAATATGTGCACTTTCTGAAGAGTAAACCACATTTTAAATTGGGTGTATTCATGTTGAATTACTCTTTAGCATGAAATAACTATATATTATGAAAGTCTCTGGTAACATTTACAAGGTAAGAGATACGTTTAAACTCTGCCCATGTTCTTTAATACTGCAGCATTACTCTAGCATGCTGTATAATTTTACTTCATAAAGTATCCACTGACACACAATTCCAATTTCCTCAAAAATACTTTATTTTATTTAACTCTCATGTTCAATTGATTGCATTGGGGAAAATTAGCATACAAATCTTGTACAGAATCAATTAGGTAATAAATCATAAGTAATGCAGTGCAGGCCAAGCATATAAGGCAAGCAATTAAGTATCAGATATGTGAATTATATCTAATAGAAGGGGTGCCTGGAATAAGGAGCAGCTGCATCAGAGGTGTCCTTGAAAGCAGCCCTAAGGTTGTCTCGCTCGCACTTCTACAGAGGAGGGGGGTCATAAAGTGGCTTCTACACTCACAACACTATTAAGTTCTCAGCTGGGAGAACAGCAAAGATTCCACCTTCAGCTGACCAATGGAGAAGGATCTTACTTAGGATTAGCTCCTTAGCCAGGGTAGGAGGTAGGAGCAGAGTAAGAATGACTAGATTTTATTACTAGCCTGGTTTCTTTACAATAATCCAGAGAATTTGGTTTTACTGTTAAATATGAACTAACCAGTTCAGGTGGCCCTCACTTATTGATTGCAGTAAGGTCTGGCAACTAAGCAGAGCAGTGGTTAAGCAAGTCACGTGACTGTGCTAAATTACAACATCAGTTTTGCCTGTGGTTGTTAAGCAAATCATGGCAGATAGTTAAGCATGTCATGGGACTGTGACTTGCAACTTCCTGCCAGCTTCCCCAATGACTTTGTTTGTTGGAATTTGGCTGTGAAGGTCGCTAATGGTGATCACAGGACCGCAGGATGCAGTAACCTTTGTATGTGCATACCAGGTGCCAAGCACCTGAAAGGCAATCAGGATTAGATTTTGCCGGTACTTCTTTGATTTTAATTGTTGAAATGTCCAGATATCAGACTACTCAAGGTTACTGATGTTTCTTCCTCCAGTTTTAAAGCCACACTAATCTTCTTCCAATTCATCAACCTTCAATATATTTTCTGCACATAGCTTGACTAAATAAGGAGAACGGTTATAGTAGACCTGCTGGCATTTTTTTTAAAAGGCTCAATAAATTGACCACCACCAAACAATGCTGCCACCAAGAAGAATCCGCTGCCACTGCCACCTGAAAAGATAATAATAATAACAATAACAATAATAATAAAGTTGGAAGGGACCTTGGAGGTCATCTAGTCCAACCCCCTGCTCAGGCAGGAAACCCTATGCCATTTTGGACAAATGGCTGTCCAGTTTCTTCTTGAAAACTTCCAGTGTTGGCACATTCACCGCTTCTGGAGGCAGGTTGTTCCACTGGTTAACTGTCAGGAAATTTCTCCTTAGTTCTAGGTTGCTTCTCTCTTTGGTTAGTTTCCACCCGTTGCTTCTTGTCCTGCCTCCAGGCGCTTTGGAAAATAGCTTGACTCTCTCTTCTTTGTGGCAGCCCCTCAGATATTGGAACACTGCTATCATGTCCCCCCTCGTCCTTCTCTTCATTAAACTAGACATACCCAATTTCAGCAACTGTTCCTTATATGTTTTAGCCTCCAGTCCCCTAATCATCTTTGTTGCTTTTCTCTGTACTCTTTCTAGAGTCTCAACATCTTTTTTACATCGTGGTGACCAAAACTGGATGCAGTATTCCAAGTGTGGCCTTACCAAGGCATTGTAAAGTGGTATTAATACTTCACGTGATCTTGATTCTATCCTTCTGTTAATGCAGCCTAGAACTGTGTTGGCTTTTTTGACAGCTATAGCACACTTCTGGCTCATATTTAAATGACTGTCCACTAGGACTCCAATTTCCCTCTCACAGTTACTATTATTGAGCAAGGTACCCCCTATGCTATACCTGTACATTTGGTTTTTCTTGCCTAAATGTAGAACCTTGCATTTTTCACCATTGAATTTCATTTTGTTAGATAGCGCCCAGTGTTCAAGTCTGTCCAGGTCCTCCTATATTTTAAGCCTGTCTTCTGGAGTGTTGACTATTCCTGCCAGCTTGGTGTCGTCTGCAAATTTGATGAGTTCCCCATCTATCCCCTTGTCCAAATCATTGATAAAGATGTTGAAGAGCACTGGGCCCAGAACAGAGCCCTGGGGCACCCCACTATACCCCACTACACACTTCCCTCCATGTAGATGTGGTTCCATCGTGCTTTGGAGAAGGAGGGTGTGCTGGCCTCTTTTAAGCTGGACCGGCTTTGGAAACCAGAGTGGAAGGCCAAAGCTTGCAGCGAGTTGTCCCCACCATGTCCCATGGCAAGGTGGCAGGTGTGAGTTGGTGATGGTAAGTTGGTGGCAGAAGTTGTCATAGTTACGCCCCCCCCCCAGGAATACCCTACTCTATGGAAGCATAGCAGGACTTTGAATACTGTAATAATAGTAGTGAGGTTGAATTAGAGATCACTTTAGCTCTTCAGTTTACTGCATTTAAAGTACAATGGGAAAAACATTAAGAAAAATGTTTATCCATTGTGAATGCCATACAAATTAAACAGGACTTCCAAGATACGGCACAGAATTTAATACAGGAAAGAAGAGATAATGTGTTATCATGAGGATCTCTGCAAAAATATATATTTCATTTCTACATTAATTATATTACTTTTAAAAACTGCTTTCATCTTTAAAACAATATTTACATTTCTTCCTTTAAGTAGGCAAATATCCTTTTATTATTGGATAGCACTATTCCTTTCACTGATTTAACAGATGTTCCATTATATAGCAAATACTTACAAATATAGTAATCATGTGTAGTGGCACTGTGAAAGACTATTGTATTTTGAGGAGTTTAGTGATGTATTTTGATTTCTCTTCATATTTAGAAAACACTATAAATTTAGGGTTCGTTCTGAGCTATGTTTAAACTGCTTGTTTTTCACTCTTGCTGGCAAGGTGGGGAAAATCTTCACACAGCTGCAAAGCACCAGCTTATCTAGATAATTCTCAGTCCTTCATTCCTATCCCAGAGTTATGCACTCCTCAGGCAAGGTCCAGTCTTGCAATCTCCTGACCATGGAAGCAGTGCCATGAAATCATGGTGCCAAGTTTTAATAAAAACCCTGAAAT